CTTTGCCTTTGTTTCTGCCCTTGCCAGGTTTCTCAAAAGGTGCTTTATCAGGCGATGGTTTGTCAAGTCTTGGCTTCTTGGATGGGGGTTCATCACTCAGCCTAACTGCAATTGGCTTGGGTTGCAACAATGACATCACCTCCGTGCTGTTCATGCAAGCCTCAAAATGATTGTCACATGGTCGGCCCGTTGCAGTGGCCTTGATACCCCCTCTGGTCTTCTCCGCCAAAAGGACGAACAGGCGTTTGTCTGCCGCCTCGATCTGTTGGAATGTTGTCCTGGCAAACCCATGTGGCACGATCTCAAGCCTGCATGCCATGATCTTTTCGAGCCACTTGTCATGGTGCTTGTAAGCAAGGATGTTGGCCTGTTCCATTGCCAATGCCCTTCGAATGAAGCAATATCGCAACAAAATCTCCGATGATGTATTACAAGGCTCATACTTGGCTGAACTGGTGAATTTCAACTCACCTGAGGCTTGGACCACCAACCTTTGATCCTTTTTGCTGGTGTGCATCAGCTCATGTTCTCTGCTAACGCACTGGTCCCAACTAATCCATTGCAGTCTGTCTGAACAAGATTCTTCAACAAGAGTGGCCTCTCTTCCCAGCACCTTGGTCAACAAATCCTTGAACGGCTTGTCGTCATTGCCACCAGGAGAAAAGTTGCATGCAAACGCTAACTTTGCCATAGTGTCCAAACCATTGTCCTTGAATCTTCTGATGATATCCTCACTCAGTCCTATGGCCTTCGACCTCTGTTCAAAGACTGCACTGCTGTCACCAAAACTCATGGCTCTGGTCAAGGCTAGGCTGGCTTAAAAGATTCGCATGTCCTGGCATGAACATCGCATCAGCGTTGGATTCTGCAACGCAAGTCTATGAAACCTTGGCTCACATGTTTGCAGGCTCGACTACACATTGTCTGTTGGTTCATTGTTTCGCGTCAAGCTTCGGACATTGCATAGTCCTTCATGATCTCCACATGTGCGCATTTCATTGAACACTTTTTTTTTGAATCTCAAAAGCGGAGGTGCATACCTCTGTCATCAACAGGAGTTCGCATCTCCACATGCATTACATCACAGCTTAGTGACATCTCATGGACAGAGTTAACTCAACCTTTGCATGAAGGCGCCCATAATGAAAACGTCAAATTAAAACTCGCTGCGTAGCAAGGAAAATTCAAGACATGTCAAATTCCAACATCACAAGAATTGAATGACATCTGAATCGAATCTTGCTGCATTGCAAGTCGTGACATCCATGACATGTCATGATTCACGTTGCACACTTCGTCAACAATCAAATCCACTGCTCATTGAGAAAATAAAAACGCTGAGCTGCATCTTATGTCTTTTTATACCTCTCAGGCCGATCGCTTGAAGCATGCTGCACAAGAGGGATGGATGAACTGCGGAACTCCAGCACACTTCACATATTGGCCGGTCACCATCCGTCCGCACCTGAACAACATCCCTGACTCATCGGCAGTGGCATGAAGGCACCTGGACGTCCGGTGTCTGAAATATGCTGTCTTCTCAGGCATCCCGACATCTCCCCAGCCACCCGCAAACTTTTCGACTGCCTTCTCGTCCTCCGAGTGTTGGGCCTCCTCTTCGTCCTGGGAGTCACACGAAGAAGATGTCGACTCTGCGTCTTTGGAGTCGTCAGGGAGATTTCTTGTAGCCGGGAAGTAGCCCGATCGTGAAGCGTCAGGACAAAAGGCTCGTGCCACAATCTGGTCGATCATCTCCTCCATGAGTCTGACAGGCCACGCCATAGCGTCACGGGAGTAGACAATCATCGACTTGTCCCTCCCTGCAGAATGGTATCCCAACAGTCTTCGGGCCGCTGGCTCCATACCATACTTCGCGCACATGGAGAGAAGTGATGATTTGCATGAATGTGTTGCCACTCTCGTCAAAGCCTTTGGTCCAGGAACGTCTTTGATCAAAGCTCTCAACCAGTCACCTGCAATCTCGCATGTGATGGGCACTTTGGTCCATCCTCCTCCTGCAGCAGGATTTGGGAGTAGTGGCATCCCCTTTCCAGTCACCAGCTTGGCCTGCTCACGAACTGCCAGCCAGCATTCGACCCAGCCATCAGTCGTGAAGCTCTTGGTGGGGATAACAACAGGCAAAAGACGGGTGCGCTTTTCCAAAGTAGTTGCTGTTTTGCATCTCTCTGCAGCGCACTCCAAGTACCCATGTTGAGCATCCAACGGAATCTCAAGCTCCATCGATGTGATCGACTGTGCATCAGAGAACCTCAGTCGCCCAAACGTCAAGACGAGGAAAAAGCCTGCTGCTATCCTGTCGTATGCAGTTTTGTCATCATCATTAACACATCGCTCAAGGTGTTCGATCTGAGCCACAGTGAGGGGTGGCCGTTGGACCAATTTCCTCTTCTTGGTGTAGTGCATCGCCGAGAAACCTTTGATGCGGCAAGAATCCAAAACATTGTCGGCACTCAGTAGCCCCAGAACATGCTTTTCAAAGGCCACCGACGTGATGAAAGACCTTGGAAAGGATGGAGATGGATCTGACTGCTTCAAAAACTGATACGCCACATGTTCACTGATTGGAAAGGGCTTGATTCCAGAGTCACGTGCATGCTGAGCATATCGGATGAGAGGGTTCACACGGTTGTGCAAAGTTCCAGTCGCTTTCACCCCCAGGCAATCTTTGACGGACTCCCCAATGCCTTGGCTAAGGAAGCTGATGTAGTCCTGCCCAGGTTTTGGTCTGGAAACACTCCACGCCCCAGGCTCATCCAAAATTAAAGCTGTCCACTTCTTGTATGCTGCCTTTCTGTCATACGAAATTTGTAACTCCCAGAGATGCTCGTCTGTGCGTTTCATCAGCTTCAACCCAGCATCTGCAAAGCTGCTGCATTTAACTGCAAGTTCTTCACCCTTGCAGCTCTCGTCCAGCGAGCTCGATGGCCCCAAGTTTCCACTGAGTTTGAGCCTTTTCCGAAATGGGTCAAGAGCATCTCTATGGATTGCAGGCAACGTCAACTCCCAAGGTTGTTTGATGTTTGTTGAATGCAAGGTGGACCAAGCATGTCGTGCATGGAAAATCAAATGTTCACTCTCTTGATTGCCCCCGTTCCGCTTCAGCAGGAGGCTTGGTGATGGTGATGCCATGGTGTCTCAACAAAACGTGCAAAGTGATCTGAATCTCGGTCAACTGGGTCTTGACAATTTGCAGCTCGTACCTCAGATCTGCAATTTCCCGATGCTGCCGCAGCTGGTGTCGCAAGATGTTCTGCAAAACAATGTCAGTCGTGGAATCGGAAGACGATTCACTCATCAGCTCTTGGCGGCAAAATCCAAGCGACAAATCCAATTGCAGCACAAAAGCCCAGTAAAAAGGATAAATAATGCCCACAATAAGACCGAACTGGCAGTTGTCCCAAGATGATAGGTCCAGAAACTGCTGTTGCACCACGATGCACAGGTGAGCCACGGCGAAGCATTCAAACCATCACAACTCAGAGTGAACGGTTCCCTACCCTACCCACCACTTAAATTGAAATTGCCACACATCAAATAAACATGGTTTGGTTTCAAACGATCACAGATGACATGTCCAAGTCTGCATCACTGACATGTGCAAAACATACCACCAAATTTATATCAGCATGATATAAATATACATATATAAAGTACATACATGCATCAGATGTGTCTGTGCATCTCATAACTTCAGATTCCATCATATAACCATTAAATACAGATAAGTCTTGCCAAGCCCGTGTTTGGCTTAAGACTGGTGGGGGGGGGGGTCCGGTGCGGAGGGAAGGGGTGGTGCACGGCAAGGTGCTAAAATTTCAAAAATAGGTGCTCAAATTTAAGGAAATAGGTGTTTTTTTGAAGAAACCGGGTCGGGATCCAGTCGGGACCCAGTCGGGACCCAGTCGGGACCCAATCGGGCACCAATTTTTGCATTTTTGGGCACCGCTTTTGGCCAGTCGGGATCCAGTCGGGATCCAGTCGGGATCCAGTCGGGCACCAATTTTCGAATTTTTGGCACCACGTTTGGACCTGTCGGGAAGCAGCCAAAATCACCGAAAAACATGCAAAAACACTGCAAAAATGCTATTTTTTATGAATTTGGCTGCCTCCCGACATTGGTGCCCGACTGGATCCCGACTGGATCCCGACTGGATCCCGGCTGGATCCCGACTGGATCCCGACTGGATCCCGACTGGCCAAAAGCGGTGCCCAAAAATGCAAAAATTGGTGCCCGACTGGGTCCCGACGGGATCCTGACTGGATCCATAGATTGGCAAGAACCCACTCCCGCACCTATTTTTCCCTTCCCAGACCCACCCTTGCCCCTATTTTCCTTTTCCGCGCACCAGCCGTGCACCAATACCCCCCCCCTCCTGCACCAAAACGGTAAAAGCAGTCTTAAGCCAAACGGGGGTTCTACAAGATAAGTCGCATGACAGATGTTCGGTTGGTTGGTTTGCACAACATACGCAGCACATTCACGCAAGGCATATTGCACGGGCCACGCATGTCAATACCTCCTCATCAAGGACTTCCGCTTTAAGTGAGTTTGTCCAAGGGAAACACATTGTTTCAATCACCTTTCCCATAGAGCGCTACTGGCAAGCTAGCTGCTACACTTTGCTTAAACTGAGCTTCCGAATCAAGCAAGGAGGCCATTGATCAGGTCAGACAGGCGTTGACAAAACTTAACATGGAAAGAAATGGCACAAATGCACAAAAGAAAACATGAACCAAAGACTCAACACAATTCGGAAGTGATGAGAAACATGCCAAGTGAAAACAAGTACAATCAAAGTTTTTTTTTGGGCTTGAACCATAAAATTCGATTCATGATAAAAAATTCCGCTCACAAGTTGTCACTGACAACATCAAATGAGTTGACACTGTCAACACTTTTCCTTTGTGCCTCGAAAACTGAGTTGACCCTGTCAACAAAAGAAACAAGTGAGCACTGTCACAACTGAAGCCCGTGGCTATCACGAGACAACTGACGGCCCTGCCGCACCTTTTCTAATCCTGCCGACGGTTGCAGATAACGCAAATTGCATTCCCGTCTGTGGAGGAATCCATGGCAGCAAATTCTTGGAGACCGTCCTTCCACACGCAGTCATCTTCCGATCAGGATCTCCTCCTGAGGGCTCTGTCCAGCAAAAATGAAGCAAGCCAGACTTCTTATGGGCCACCCATGATGCATCTTGATGCACCACGTGCTCCAAGCGTGGCCTTGACCTCTTTGGAGACACCTCCACAGCTTCACTATCCTCTGAGGCGATGCAAGAATCACCGCTCTCGCTGGCAGAGGACTCACTGTCGGAAGTGATGTCAATCACCTCATTCTGTTGAACCAGGCCCTCGTTGATCTCATCTTTGCAATCCTCATCCAACGCAGCACCTGCACTGGCCAAACTGTCAGCACCAAACGGTGTAGCCTTGTCCACGAAACTTGAAGGAGGCTCAGGAGGAAAAGGAAAGAAACAGCTCCTCTCTGCATCAGGTCTGAAGGCCCCCTGATGGATTGCTTTCACAACTTCAGCAAACCTTGATACCGGACCAATGGCCAGGTCACGAGAATACACAGCAACTGTTTCACTCGTGAGCGACTGATGTTTGCCGAGCACAGCGCGATCTGGCCATGTCATTCCGTAACGGGCAGCCCATGACAATCCCGTTGACTTCAATGAGTGTGAACTCACATGAGCCACATTGAAATCTGGTACCTCAATGTCCAGACCAATCAAACCTCTGAGAAGCTTTCCCACCTCACCAGACGTTACAAAGCGCTTGCACAAATAGGGTCCTTCATGGCTGGGTGGGCAAAGCAGAGGGCCATTGACTGCACCATTGAAAGTCAGGCCAATCTGCTCAAAGACCTGAATTGCCAAGGCCGCCCAGTTGGTGTCTGTCACCCCAAATGCCGGGCACAAGATGGGCAACAGAGTCGCCTTCTTTGCAGCGCTTCTGCCGGTCTTGTGAACTGTAGTGAAAAGTTCAACGAACCCATCTTGGTGGTTGTGATCATGCTGAATGGAATCCAGGAAAGACAGATCCGATACCCGACATCTTCCATAAACTGCTGTAAGCATGAAACCCGCTGCAGCCCTGTCAAAATTGTCAGCGTTTGGATCTTCCAAAACTTGATGCAAAGACTTCACTTGTTGCACGGTCAAAATCTGAGCGTGCTGAAGTTTTCTCTTCGAAGCAAACATGATATCGCTGTACCCTTTCAGACGTTTGCTGTTCAGAATTGCGTCCATGCACTCAAAACCCATGACAAACTTTGCATACCTCACAGCCGACAACATGGAAGCAGCTGATGTGGCTCCTCCGGAGGTTTTCAAATGGTGAAAGTACCTCCATACCAGTTCCTCCGAAAAAGGCATCTGCTCCTTCGGCGTCACCTCCAGAGTCACCCTCAAAAACCGCAGGACTGCATTGGCCCTGCAAATTGCAGTGTGGTAAGACCTCACGCCTATGACTGCTTCCCAAATTTCCAAAGCTTCAGCCCGATGGTCATCAAGGTTTCCCAAGGCAGCAATGTTGCGTCCCACATCACTTTCTTGTAAGCAAACCATCAAGATTGACAGCCACTTGTTGCATGCACTCAACCGCAGTTTGCTCTGTTGCGATTTGAAATCAGAATCTGAAATGCATGAAATTGCACGCGCATAAACTGAGCTGTCATCACCAAAAGGCCTTGTTGCCGCTGATGCCAACTCCTGCACTGTGGCCTCAGGTGACTCTTCTGGCATCACCATCCTAGGAAACCAAGGCAATGTCAAAGAAGGTGGCTGATGATCTTCTCCAAAAATCTGCTTGAAAATTCCTTTCTCCCATGGCAACTGAATTTCATGGGCTTGGGCAACTCTCAAAAACGCATGTCCAAGAAAATTGTCAAACTGCTGTTTCGATATTGTGGCGTCCATGGTCCCAGTGTCATCATGTTTTGACAGCTGTTGCGCAACATCCTCATGACGCTCATCTGAAAAATGTCCAAACTGCAAAGGCAACCCAGAACCAGGACTTCCAAAAAGATTGCCAACACTTGCAATTGAGCCTTCAGCTCTTTCAGATGGTGCAGCATCCGAGGCACTGGCACTGACAGATTGCTCTCCTGCGCTCAAAGAATCGCCTGACTTAAACGGCATCAAGGTCTTCTTCCTCCACGGCATTCTGAACTTCGACTGAACTTGAACTGTTGCTAATTGTATCCAAATCCCAAACCCCCCCTTGACCAGGGATAACAGGGGCCAATTGGATAAATGCCTGAAGCGGAGGTGTGGGGACCGAGTAAGATGATAAGCAGAGGTCAAGCTGGCACTCCGTACGGCCAAGCAAAATGTCACGCTGATCAGCCAATAACAAAATGCAAGTAATGAGAACTCTTTGAGCTTCTGGCCGGGTCAAGTATGCAAACACTGTCACTTGAATCCTGCCGCACGTGCACCTGGTGAAAACGCAAAAATCCTGGGTGTCACACTGACAGGCTCGTGCTAAACTGATGTGCATCAGAATAGAAGCAGCCACAATGCAAAAATGAAGCCTGCGGTGAATCCAGAAATCCAAAAGCAAAACCAGGTGTAAATGGTGAAAGGCTTCAACGGCAAGCCCAATGAAATCTTCTGTGAGGCGGCGGCCCGACCACGTGCAAGCGCACCCATGCACGAGAAGCCCCTAAAAACACAAAAGGACCACCAGCAGCGCACTTAGTAAACTCTGCTTTTTGACCACGCAGGAATTGTTGGCGGATGGTCAAGTTTCGGATATCCTCACCAAAGTTTGCCATACACCAGGATTGTGCATGGATAGCCAAGTGTCGAAGCAACGCCAGGATTGGCATTGGCAGGCTTACAAGGGCAAGCTTAATTATATGTGACCCTGTGCGGTTGGTCACTTCGGACTAAGTAAAGGCTTATGGGGCCTATTAATGGAAAGGATTAAAAGCTGGGGATTCAAGCAGTAGAGATCCCCCTTGGGTTGTTGGCTTCTGGGTGGCGTGGGTGGGACGAGAAGCCCCTAAAAACAATTGACAACCCACCAACCCACCACTTGAGGTGTAAAAATCATCATAAGGCAAGATCCAGAATCATCAAGTGCTTACCATGCAGAAGTGTCATGCCAGACCTGAGAAGAACAAAACTGACGTTTGAAAAACACAGTTGGTTTGTTTGAAACGTTGAACCCTCAAACAAGAAGTCACAGGCTGAACCCGAATGCAGTGCGCATCGCATAAACGCAGGCATGACCCAGGAAGGGTTGTGCAAGAAGACCAAGCTGTCGCAGAAAGAAAAACCGCAGCAAGGAAAATTTTGCAAGGTAAGAAAATTTTCTTTTTGAAAATTTTGGTTCCAAGAAATAACAAACTATCACAAGTGACAGTCTGTATATATATATATACGTCGTAACAGACATATATGTAAACACGTGCATACCGAGCATATATATATAGTTCTATTAATACATCATCGCATACGCTCTCGCATCCTACGCATGGGGGGGCGAACAACATACACCATCTCAAACTTAAACAAAACCAACAAACTTAAAATAGTGCAGTCGGAAAAACATGACAATCGACAGCTCAGGCAAACTCTGTTTTCTTCTCGTTGGCGGACAAGGGTGATCTCCAATGAAATCGTAAATTGATTTCCACATCGCATTGCATCATTTGTTGTTTCATCGCATTTGAAAAACGAAAGATGGGATTGCATATCCCGGCATATCTTTCACAACGGATTCTCACCCAAGTCTGCTTCAGCCAAGGTATCAAACAGAGCACTGCCTAACATGGGGCATTTCGGGCTGACGCAAGTAAACGGCCTTAGGAAGGCCAACTCCAAAACAGAACCCCTGCTCGGAAAGTCAGCAACATTGGAACTCGACGGAACTCTCGCCACCCAAAGAAGAAAAGTGTCTTCGGCTGGGTCTTCCAACAAAAGCAAGAGTTTGCGCCAGTCTTCCTGCAATGACGTCCCTTTGGCGAGCACGTCCAATGCAGGCCAGTTGTCCACAAACATGATGACCCTCCTGGAAGATACTCTTTTCTTCCAATGACGCAAGGCCACCACGCAAGCATAGAGTTCAACCAATCCAATAACGTGGGACTTCCCACCCTGTCTCCAAACGTCCAAGACTGCGCTTGGAACTTCACTGCCGAAAACTTCAGAGCTCCCATCAGGAAAAAGACAAACTGCACCTATCGTTGCATGAGGTTCTCCAGTGTCGTACTCAAGGGCACCATCTGTAAAAAGCAGTACAGGTTTCTCCATGTCATCAGCGATGAAAGATTTCGGTTTTCCTCCGCATAACCTTTCTTGAAGAATCTCGAATGCCTTAATCTGAGTGCCACCCAAACGTACGGCCGTAGGTGCAGTATTCCCAAGCTCTCTCAAGTCAGCCAAGGCCAGCTTGCCAGCTCGCCCCCACACGTGGGAGTCTGCGTATTGAAGTTTTCCCAAAACAGAAGGTAGCTGGTTAGGCACCACCACGCCAGACTTAAGGATATCTCCCAAAGCAAGGTTCAATTCCTCCACCCTGGAAGGTTTGTTGGAGATTGAAATCTTTCTCTGCGACGCTTTGCTCAAGTCAACAACGACTCCAAGGATTTCAGCAGTGTAATCGAAGGGAGCCAGCTTCTCCTCCGAGTAAACGAAACCAAACAGAGACATGAGACCTTTGGCACAAGCCAACGTAGAGGTGGTATGCATTGCATGAGATACCATAGGGAAATCGTCAAAATAACTGGTCCACAAGAGCCCCAAGGCACACCCTGCGGCCTGCAGGAATGCACTCACCCTCAAGAAGTTGTGAACGCTTGCTGAAGCTCCAAATGGGAGCGTAACACTCGAAGCATCGCACATCCTGGTGCTCTTCGCTCCACAAGGAAATGACAGCTTTGTCTGAATCTCATGGACTGAGGGGAAGTTGTTTGTACGCTGATTTCAAGTCCATGGCTGTGACCTTCAAATCAACGCCGGCTTCTATCCAGTCTTTGTGAACAAACCCAGACAATCGCGTTCCATCCTCCAATTCAAAGTTGAACTCGCCACCGACCGTATACAGTCTTGCAAGAAAAATTGAAACCCAAAAACCAGGTGGTCCAGGGCATACAATGACGCCCTTTCCGTTGACGAGAAAGTCTCGTTCACTCGGTTTTCCTTCAGGTCGTCAATGGGCCTCAGCTTTTCCTTTTGGATGACTGCAAAACGCCTGACAGGAAGCCATCGCCCAGAAAAACGCTCGTCCATCTCAAGCGCAGTGTAAGGGCCAGACAGCCAACCCTTATCAAGGGCTTCGCTTTCAGTGAGCTCGTAAAGTTCCTTGCTGTGGGCATCTCCACGGCTCGCTCGTATCTTTCCAAGCAACGCTGGCTTCAAAAACTTAGCATCCTTCTTCAATTGTTCTTCACTCATTGAAGCCGCTTTGATACCAGATTGAAAAACATTTGATTTCGTCGCCTGTCCCACCAAACGAAAACCTTGGGCCATCTCCTGAAACAGTGTGGTGTCTGGCCAGTTGATACTTTTTGCAACCCTTTCCATTAGAAGCAAACGCTTGGCACCGAGCACAGCTTTGACCTTGGGGTCGCACTTCTGTTTGTACTCCTTTTCCACTATCGCAAGTTCCGTTGCCCAAGTGGTTCAAAGCTTAAGTCTCTGTATGCGCAATCGCACAATTTCCACTGGTGACATGGTGAGGTGCTCGTGTAAACATTTCAGCAAATGGTCAGGCATATGTGCAGCTGTGTCAAAGGGGTGCCACAACGTCTTGGCCAAGGCGACAAAGGTTTCGCATGAGTGAAAAATTCCAAAAACACACAAAAGCTTCTCTCCCTTCTTCTCGGTACGCAGCAGGCGGCTACCTGCTGGAACATGCTTGCAAGGCTCGCACAAACAACGCTTTGCATCTGTCGATGGCAATGCATCTAACAAAACACTGCAAACTTTCTCATATTCCGGAATCAGCTGTGGAGTGGCCCTGCCACGTGGTTCCTTGTCGACACGCGGAGGTTTGTAGTCAGCAGGCTGCACTCTGACTCCTTTTTCCAAACAAATTTCATCAAAAACACGTACAAGTTGCTCGCACATGCCATTGGGGTACTGGGCTTCCATTGCTGTTGCAAAGCCTTGTTCAGGATTGTAACCCCAAGGTTCATGCACATGCGGTTCGACATCTTCGCAAAAACGTTGCATCAAGGAAATACTGCTCTTATTGCTAAGAAAGGAAGTCTTCTTCGGTCTGGCACCCACAAAAGCGCAAGCATGACAGTGTGCAAACGTTCCATGTTCAACTGCATATGCAAAGTATTCCAGCTCCCACAACAAACTGTTGGTTGGGTTTTCAATCACCCAAGCAATTCCCCTTTCATCCAAAAATTTCACAAATTTTCCCATTCTTTCATACAAACGATTTGCTGCATCAACTTTCAACTTGTCCAGTTCAGAAATATCCGGAAGGCCTAAGGGAAATTCTTGGCTCCGAACCGGCTGTGGGCCAGGGGACCCGTCCGGCATTGGGATTCCCCTGGCCTTGCTGCATGTGCCACATGGCGGTGCCAAATGCACTGCCACAACATCGCATGTTTCAATGACATATTGCAAAACATCCCAAGCATGGTCTTCTGACAAATCCAGTGACACTATTTTGCATCTGGGTCGGTGTCTGTTTCGTTTGAAATCAACCGGCATCACACGGTAACCATGCTTCTGAGCTGCTGCACTGAGAACGGCACTGCCAGCGCACAACTCGATGAAAATCATCTGCTTTTCCATTGGAGAAAAACTGTGAACCCCTTTTGGGGAGGCATCCATGTCCGCAAAAACTTGAGAAGGCATACTTTTCTTGCGTCGTGCATCAACGTGAGATTCAGATGACCTGGCCTTCTTAGAAGGCTGTTCCCCCGACTGCAGCCGCGCATTAGCTGAAGGCGGAGGCAAGGCATCATCAGCATTGCATTGAGAAAAATCCTCAGGAGATAGTCACTCCCGAGACACTGCCGTCTTATTCGGGCAGTCCATGGCCATATGCGTCTTTACAGCCCCCAAGGTTGTTTAGAAGGAAACCTCCTCATTACGGAAGCGCGTAATAGGTGTTAATAAAGGTGATTTCGCTTCGCCAAAATCTCTCAATTAAAATTAAAACAAATTCAGCGTGATGAACAAACTGCATGCTGGAAGGACCTCTTTCTTTTTCTCGCAGAGTCGGGGGAGCAACCACACGGTTCAAGGTGACTGTCGTGATGTCTTCGAAATCACTTTGGTCACATGTTTTGTTTTCCTCTCTTATGACCGGATTGTCTCTGGGAGACCTCGGCCATTTTGAGATCCATGTGTTTTCCCCCCATAGTTAAAGGGTGGGTGACTCGAAGAGGAATTTGGGAGGGTCAAAAACTATGGGAAGTCACAGAAATTTTCTGTGTGAACCCGCCCACCACATCCCTAAATTTGAGATGTAAAATACAGAATATAAATAATCATCAGACAGTCACTCAGAAAACAGATTCAGTAAAACTGAAACTTAAAACGAACACAAACGCATTTCAAGTAGTGGTTTCCACAGCTTGGTTTGTGTTTCATTTTTTTTTGTTGGTTTCCTTTGTACAACCTTGTGCGCTCCGTTCCTGCGCTGGGCAGGAAAGACAAGGCTTTCATGGTACCCATGATTCACCTACGTCTTTACAGCCCCCAAGGTTGTTTAGAAGGAAACCTCCTCATTACGGAAGCGCGTAATAGGTGTTAATAAAGGTGATTTCGCTTCGCCAAAATCTCTCAATTAAAATTAAAACAAATTCAGCGTGATGAACAAACTGCATGCTGGAAGGACCTCTTTCTTTTTCTCGCAGAGTCGGGGGAGCAATCACACGGTTCAAGGTGACTGTCGTGATGTCTTCGAAATCACTTTGGTCACATGTTTTGTTTTCCTCTCTTATGACCGGATTGTCTCTGGGAGACCTCGGCCATTTTGAGATCCATGTGTTTTCCCCCGTTATTCGAGGATCCAGCTAACATCGTTTCCATCCCATGCCAGTTGAGGAAAAGGCACTCCGTCAATGATGGAGGTATAGAGCTCAGACGGCAAGCTGATATCTCCACCCAATTTCAGGTTCCACCTTCGACAGGCTTGTTCGGCTTGCCTCCTTGAGGGGAGGTCTGCAGGATTGCAATATGATGCAATACGTTCGTACCATAAGTAACATGGCATGGCGCCTTCCAGACAGGAGCAAGCATGGGCCATCCGAAAAAGTGGGTCAGATGGAGACCTTCCTTTGATCAGGCAAAACCTACAGGGCTCGTTGTCGATGAACAGGATTGCACGCCGGCCATGAAGTAAGTGTCTCGCATGCCACCGTATGCACAGAACCGCATACATCTCAATCTGACAAATAAGTTGCTCACCAACCAATCCACGCCATGCTTCCAGCAGAAAAGCGGGGACTCGTCCCGCAAAACATTCTCTTGTATTGGTGGCAGTGTCCAACACGATTGCCCCCCAATCCGCAAGGTCTTCTCCAAATGCACCATCCGTGTAGATGATTATGGGGTGAGGCTCATCCGAGGTTGCCACCTTGCGAGGTTGGAGTGATCTAAGAACTGTTAGGGCATGCTGGCATAAATCTGCTAGCACTCGCGGAGGGAGATTGGCACCCATTGCCAGAGAAGAAAAGCCTTGAGCCGCTGGTTGTAGTGCTTTGCCCAGCGCAAAGCCAGACGCAAAATTCAGAAGCCCATGTAGGGAAGCTGCTGTGGAACTGGTTACTGCTTTCTCCTGGGCAACTTGCTGAATCAGGCGCCCAATGCGCTGGAGGCGTTCAGGTTTGTTGCCCACTGTAAAGAAAGAGCTATGGAGGTTGGCCAGATTGTATTCCACCCCCAGAGCCGCAAAGGTCGAAGCAAAAGGTTTGGCCTTCTTGCCCGTTACAGCATGCCTCCAGCCAAGCAATTGAAAGAAACCTGACACCACCTGCGTGGTATTTTCCGCGGCACCAGCAAACTCCAGTGTTGGGTAATCGTCATAAAAGTTGGTGGTTACCACCCCAAAGTCTTCCCAGAGCAGGAATTGAAGTGCCCGGGCCATCTTGTTGAAACTGTAAACACTTGCTGTTGAACCAAAAGGCAAGGACTGCCCAATGTAGTAGAACCACCTGCCACTGCTGTTCCGTGCACCCAAAACGGAATACCGAAGGCTGGCCGTGCTTACTGCAAGTTGTTTATAGGCCTTTGACAAATCAAAACACCTGCCTAGAATGGCTTCCCCTGACATGGCTGCTCGGGAGAGCTTTCCCTTCAAGACCGTACCATCTGAAAGCGGGAGGGAAACATCGTGGCCTCCTTTCAGCAAGTGCATTAAGAGGGTTATAAGGGCTGCCAAAACATCCACATCCTGCAACTCCAAGTAGGACCGGGAAGCAAAGGCTGCATTTACATGGCTTCTCCTGTAATCATCAATTATGCGTTCTTTCCCGTCATCGCCCTGAACTAACAAAAAGCGCTTGGTCAGGGTCCAGTTTTGCGTTCCCAGCTCCGCCGAAACTTCGTCTTCAGAAAAGAAAGGGCCACGGAGGAATGATTCCTCCACCTCCTCTTGGGATAGCTCCACTAACCTATCTGCATGTTCCTTTTCATGGTCTGCAAGGGGTCGGCCTATCACAAGCTTTCTGTGGAGTGGTGCTGACATATTCAGTTGCTCAACAGTCATGGTGGCTGGCTGTAGCTTTTCTTTGTAAAGTGCCGACATCGGCTCTTCTCCTACCAAATCAACACCTTCCAAAAAGTCGTGCATGACCTGCAAGTCAGAAAAGGAGTTCGCTCTCAGACGTTCTTCAAAAAGCAAAAGGCGTTTCCCCTTAACAACCCCCTGAACATGCGCTGGCAACTTTTTGTGCAGGTCAGCTTCGGCTGCTTGCAAGTTGGCCGCTCTATCTCTGTAGAGCTTCAGCATTTCTAACCTTTCTCTAGCTATCGCTGCAGGCTCCTTGGTGACCATGGCAAATAAGGCTTTCATCAGGGAGTCCGGCAAAACAATAGTTGAATCCATTGGGTGCCAAAGCTGCAGCGCCCTTGCAATGTGGGCCTCTGGCTCCATCCAAACACCTACTTTGACCGCACCCTCATGCGCAGGGTCTTCATCAGCCACCTCGAGTTCCTCCCCCGCTGTTTTTGGTGGCAGGGGCTTTTCGTTTTTGGCCAGTGGGATCGAAGGAGATCGCCAAAGAAAAGCTTCGAAATCGGGCACCAGTTGTTGAAGGGCCCGATGCTGTCTTCCTTGAGCTTGGAGACTGTCCAAGCGCAGCTGCTTGAGGTTTAAAAAGGTTGGTCCTGCTTCCAGTTTTTGCAGAATGCAGGCCGCCAAACGCCTAGCAAGCACCGCTGGGTATTCCGCTTCAGCAGCTGTATCAAAGATCCATCTGTGATCTTCCAGTTTCTTAGCCGACCAAGGTTCATGGCTATGAGACCTGTCGCAACGCACTGCTAAAGAATTGAAAACGCCAGGGGTGCCCAAAATGGTGGTGCTTTTGTTCCTCAAGGAGCCATGCATGCATGCATCAAACATTGTAGCTTCCAGCGAAAAATACCAGTTGATGAATCCCTCGTTGGCCGTCTGCTTGACCAGGGGGGCCAAGAGGGGCCATAGCCAGCTACGTGCAGGGTTTTCTATCGAAACAATGCATTGCAGCATGTAGCATGTTACCAAAAGTGTCAATGCATGCCTGTAAATGGTGTTGGCCTTGTCCACCTTGAATTTGTCGGCAGGCGACAGCCCCGGGCGCCCAAACAAATTGGATTCATCACGGAGGGGTCGAGGTGTTGGGGCCCCCTGCCGTTGCAGCTCTTTGGAAACCTGGTGTTCCCTGGCTCGACTGCATGTGCCACACATGAGTCCAAAATGGACTGCATCTGGTTTTACGAATTCTAACATCTGATTTGCCACTGTGACTTCGTCCTCAAGGCTCAGGTCTATGGTGAAAGTGGGCACCTTTGGCGTGAAACGGTTTGCTTGGTGATCCACCGCAAAAACTTGGCACCCTGCATTTTTCATAGCCAGGGAAAAGGCCCCCGACCCTGAGAAAAATTCAATAAACGTCGTTCGTCGTTGATTGGCAGGCTGCTTTGGTTCCTCCGGGAGTCAGTGTTCGCACTGGTTGTAGGGGCGCTTAGCTCCACACTTAAAGCATTCATGCACTCCAAACTTACACTTGTTCTCCTTCTGTCTGTTGCACAATCCCCATTGGAACTTCAGGCACCTCCATCCATTGCTTCCCTTACGTTGGCAGCCTTGGGGCACTTTGCGCCAGTTTGTAGCGCCTGTGGTTTGCTCTGCTGCTTTTGGCGTCGGCTTGGAAGGAGCGGCCGGTGCACTTGGCCCAGGCTTGGGCTTTTTGGGCCCAGCTGCATCTGTATGGTCACCTGCATCACGCTTGCCCCCTTGCAGGGGTGTCAAGAAGCACAAAATCTCCGGTGATGTTGTGAGCCTTTCAATGAGGTCATCCAAGGGCCGCACATCTGGCGCTGTTGGCTGGAGCTTCCCACGAGACAACTGGGAAAGCTGCAGCCACATCTCCTTGTCACATTCGCAGATCTGCTGTGTTGTAATGTAGCGATACCCAGAAGGCGGTTCCTTGAGTTTTGACAGCATCAGCTTTGTTGTCCACTTCTCCAAGACCACAAAACTGGCCAGACCCGCCTGATCGTAGGCAAGATTTCTTCTGGTCCAGGCATTTCTCAGATTCAAATCACCATTTGTATCACACTTCAACTCTTCTGCTTTCTTGCCCATACGGATGTTGCCTGCGGAGTCGAAGGTCAAGGCAACCTCGTGTTTCTCCTGATGGATCTCTTGCACCCGGCTGACACAAGCATGTGGTGGGATGAACAGCAGCGCCCCATCATCCTGCATAGCCACTATTTTATCTACCAACTTGTGAGACGGCTCCAGCTCTGCCGTCCATGTGACGCCCACCAAGTCGCCTTTTTGGCGCTCTATTCTCGCCATGCGCTCTGCAAGTGGCATGGTCCTCGGCTTGTCCTCCGAAGTTCGTTCAATCCTCGCCTGCATGTCGGCAGCTGCATAAGTTCTGCCCTCAAAGTAAAGCCTTCATCACAAGACCATCTCCTGTGGTGTCACTTCGCGCCCTAGCAAAGCATCCACTGCAGTTTTGATAGGTGTGTCATCGAAACTGTTCTGATCGCATTGACAGCAAAATGCCCATTGACCAAATGTGTCCAGATTACATCCTTGCAGCTCAGCTAAAAAGCCATCGGGCACTCCGATAGCACGTGCACGTGCTTCCCATGCAGCTTTCGATTCCAGTGAAACCATGGCAGGCAAGTAAAACGAATGGCAAAGAAGTACATGGATTAAATAACAAGTGTTCACGACAGATAGAGTGTTTCCATGCAAGTGTTGAAAAATGGAGTCCCGATTCATTCTGTTTCCCGACATCTGTTTGGATTGCGACGAGTGCCGCCTCAAACTTGATGCAGTGGAAATTGCGGGCACACAAGAAGCTCAAACTGACCTTGCCTGTTGACAGGTGACATCTGTTTGGATTGTGGCGCTTGCCACCTCAAACTTGATGTAATTTAGGCCATGCTTCCAGTTTGGTCATATATATATCAATGTAAAACAACATATAAGATATCATGTGTGTGCAGCGCATGGTGAAAGTGCAGTTTGTGATTCAATCGACCGACTCCCTCAAAATCAGCTGTGCCCTTGCCATGATGTTTTGAAATCTTGAAATCGTTTGAGTCAGGTGGAGTGCAATTCGAAAAGAAAATTTAAAAGTGAAATGACAAACCTGTTTGGTCTGCGGCCATACCGCCTCAAACTTGGCTGCCTTGCTACTCCAATTTTTCAACTCTCTCACGGCTGAGCTTTGTCACACTGCTGGCAAATCACCAGCTGAGCGAAGTCAGGGTCGCCCTCTTGCCAATTGCGGTAATTTGGAGACATCTTGCGGCCACACCAAAGGGTCTTGTTGTCACGTTTCACATGGACTACCAAGGAATCCTTGTGCAGCAGTTTCTGTCCAGTCACTGAATCGGCTGGCACTGGCTGGGCATCCACAAACCTGCAACCTTCTGAAAAACTCTCCTCATCTGAAACATCTGATTCTGACTCTGCCCAATCACCTGGCTGCTGAGGGGGCTGTGCCGGCTCGTCCAGGAGGTGCTTGTTGTCCTGATAGATGCGGGCAGCATTTGATGAATCAGGGTCAAATTCAAAATTGCGAATGGCGGTCAACATCCTGAAAACTCTGGAATGCAAAGCTGTCAAATTGTCTCTTGAATACGACAAAGGCATCACAGCACTGGCATCCATGTGGTGCGTCAACATGCGCCGTTCATCCATGGAGAAACCACCAAACTTACCAGCCCATGTAGGAATGGTTGCCTTGCAGCTGTGTGTGCTGTACTTTGCAGCTTGTGCTGGAGCAAGGCCAGAACGCACCAGCACCTCCCTAAGCCAAAAATTGGCTTCTGCAGTGGTGATGCGCCGCTTCAAAAACTGCCCTGAAACTTCTGAATAAGCCGGCATGATTGTCTCCGGTTGCAATGCTTTCAACTGCATTTCCCATTTGATACACCATGGATTCAGATGAAGGCCCCAACCAATGGCTGTGAAAGGCAGCAGCATCCTACGCCTCTCCATGGTGTTCGTGTTCTTTGCTTCTGAGGTCGCTGCTTCCACCAGGAAGATGTCATGGCATCGTGAGAATTCAACCTCCCTGATCTTTGCAGCATCTCCAATGCGGCAACTTGAGAAGATGCAAAACAAAATGAAATTTGTAAACATGGAGTCAATCTTACTCTCTGCCTGTAACGCATACACTTCCAAGGCCCTGACCACGTCTGCTGGAAAAGGTGGCGCCTGCCTCAAAATCCTTTTCCTCAAGTACATGTCCCTGCAAACTCCAGTGATGCGTGATGTGAAAACCTTTGGATTGAAATCAGCAATGGTGGCAGTCGAATGCATGAACCAAATTGCTTTGACAGTTGCATCAGCTAAGGTTGGTGCGGCACCTGTCTCCCTCAAGAAACTCAAGTACTGGTACACAACACTTTCAGTAAGCTGCATCGGTTGCAAACCCAGGCATTGACGCATCCAAAGAGCCAGTTTGTAGTAGTCCAATGATCGCTTAACCAGTGTTGCAGTAGCCCTACTCCTAAAAGCATCGGCAAAAACACAGGAAATCATGTCCTCACCTGTCAGCTGTCCAGCAGTGTCCAGAAGCGCCCTACCCAGCTGTGTATGCGATGGCACTGCAAGGATCAAACCCCTGAGCCTCCGCAAAGCTTTTGCACGCAGTTGGTCATCTGTTTGGGCCAACCTCACCGACAGCAAACGCCTCTGATGAAACGGTGTCCTGGTAGCCATCCTCTCCGGGGGCTCCGAAGATGGCACAAGGCCTTGCAAGCTTTCCTGTTTCCCCACAAGCGGCATTGACAACCATGGCATGGGCAGCTTGCAAGGCCCTTTCTTGAAAACATCTGCAACCAAACCTTTAGTCCAAGGCATCTGTGGGACCCCAGTGCGCTGCAGTTTCAACATGTTGAAGAAAAGGTTCTTATCAGGGCCTGCGCCCTTTTCCAGCTCCATGTCAGCAGCCCGCCTCTTCCTTGCCAGCTCTGCAGGTGAAAATTCATGGCCAAGTTGTGAACCTTGGCCACTGTCTTCCAAACCCTGCTGAGACCCAGCCGCACAAGCTCCTGCTGCCTCATTGGAGTCCCATCCATGCTCAGCAAAAAGGTCCAGGTCATCCCGTTCAGCCCAATCTGCACCTTCAGAAAAACCTGAGGGCTCCGAACATTCTGACCCATCCAAATTGTAAATATTGGCATTACCAAATGGCGCACCCGTGTTTGACCTCCATGGCATATTGCTTGAGTGTCTCTCCCCTGTCTGTCCACAAGCGCAGTGAGCAACTAGAAACCCAAATGTAGGCGGCACTGGTGACGCCTGTGAGTTGTAGAAGTTCGCACACAAGTGCAAGTACACCAATGGCACTGTTCTTCGCAGTGAAATGGTATTGCAGGATCTGGCGCCGGAATATCCGGCACCGCAATGCGAAAACGTCTTGCCAACTCAAAAGCAATTCGCACCAGCGTCTGAACCAATTGGGTGATTGTATAGAGTTGAAGGTCTGCTTCACTAGGTGGCATCCACTTGCAGCAACCAAGCCAGAATACTGAAAAGGGTAATTGCAATGCCCCAAATGCAGCCACAAGAAAAGGAAATCACAAACGAAGGTTTGGATTTAACAGATCCCAACTGCAATGGAGAGTTGTAAGCAACGGCACCCTTGTGTAAAGCGGATCCAGCCCGGCGCATGCAAAAATCCCAAAAACTATGGGAAGTCACAGAAATTTTCTGTGTGAACCCGCCCACCACATCCCTAAATTTGAGATGTCCCTAAATTTGAGATGTAAAATACAGAATATAAATAATCATCAGACAGTCACTCAGAAAACAGATTCAGTAAAACTGAAACCTAAAACGAACACAAACGCATTTCAAGCAGTGGTTTCCACAGCTTGGTTTGTGTTTCATTTTTTTTTGGTTTCCTTTGTACAACCTTGTGCGCTCCGTTCCTGCGCTGGGCAGGAAAGACAAGGCTTTCATGGTACCCATGATTCACCTACATCTTTTGGCAACCTTTCACAGCATATAGATGAAGGCCTTTTGGGCATCTCTGGTCTTTCGCCGACTGCTTGCATCGCTTGAGATTGTAATCGAAACAAAGCCTATGTCCCTTGGATGTAGAGGCAACACATCCCAAGGACAGCAACTCACTGGGCAACCGCATGAAGGTGCCTTTGGAGCCACCCTTCTGGGAAGCTGGGTCAGGCCTCGGTTTCTTAGGCCTGGGCTCATCGCTCTTCGGCTTCGTGGGAGAATGAGAAGACGCTGCTGGAGCAAGACGATGTTGGAGCAGGTTCAAAAACTCTGGACTGTCAAAACATGCATCAAAATGAACGTCACAAGGTCGTCCAGCTGCCCCTGCCTTTATCCCCTCTCTAGTCTTTTCTGCCATCAGCGTCCAAAACTTTTTGTCAGCCAACTCGACCTGCTTCAGCGTCAAACGCGCACAACCAGATGGGGCCTCTTCCATACGAGCATTAATCAACTTCTCTGCAAGGCGCTCATGCTTCTTGTAGCACATGATGTTGGCCTGGTCAAGCGCAAGTCCGCGCCTGATGAGGCAATACCTAACAGCCATTTCATTCGAAGTGTTGCACGGCTCGATCTGGTCCTTTTTGGTCAACTTGAGATGTCCAGAAGCATCAAACGTGAGGCCACTATCCTTCTTTGATCCCGTGACAATTTCATGGTCACGCGACACACAAACATCCCAAGTCACATATGAAATTCTGTCTGCCTCGTATGCACTCACGCATCTGTCTATCAACGAGTCTCCAGGCTCGAAATTGCCTCTGATATCTTTGTTGCTGTTCATACAACCTTTGAGAACGCTCAGCTGGTGCAAGCTTCTTCACAGCAGCCTCGTCTGAGGCTTCGACCTTGGAACGAATATCTGCAGCAATGGTGGAATATGCCTCACTGAAAAGACGTCTGATGCATGCCATCTCCTTGGTCGAAGGGGCAGCACCAAGGATATTGGTTGCCAGGGTTGTCAAAGGGCGTTCATCCGCCGACCCCGGAGCATAATTGCAAGCGAAGGCAAACGTGCCCATGGTGTTGAGTCCTTCTGCATTGAAGGCCTCAAAATTGGCTTCAGTAAGCCCAACTTCCAAAAATATCTTTTTGAATACTGCAGTGCTGTCACTGTATGACATGGTCGCGACAAGTGCTAGAGCCACAACTGCATATATGGCGTTAAGTCATAACACTTTGCATCAGTGCCAGACTGTGAAGCATCAACAAAAATTTCAAGTTGTGTCACGACCTATGTCAAGAATTTTCTTCAAATTTCACTTCGACAGTATGTTTGCATGTGACTTCTTGACACATGTGTGCCTGCAATTCGCACTCACCATCATGAAAAACATGCGACCATGAAGACACTTCGCACAATTGAAATTGCACACATCCACCTGTCACCTGTTGCCTATTCAAATTTTTGATATTAAACAAAACATCCATGCGCGGCACCCCAATCATGCATCCTTTTGCTCATACGTGATGGTCTTTGAAGCAGGTGCCACACAAAGGGTGGAGGAACTTCGGTCGCTCTCCTTGCACTTCATACCGAGAAGACATCGCCCTGCCACAAGCCAGGTGGGTTCCAGCTTCATCCATGATCTTGTGCAGACAACGTGAAGTGGCATGGCGAACATATACTTGCAAGCTGTCGGGCTCAACATGTTTCGGTTGCCAAGCACCAGCAACCTGTTCGATCGCTTGTTCTTCTTCATAAACATCTCTGTCATCCTCGTCTTCTGAACCGCAGCTTGATGAATCGATGTCATCCCCGGCATCTTGTAAAGCGCCTGCCTCACGGGCAAACATGCCTGACCTCGTGAGATCAGGGTCGAAGCTGCCACCGGCCACCTTGCCGATTAGGTCCACAAGAAGCCTGAGTGGATTAAAAAAAAGCATCACGTGAGTACACCAGCATAGACTGATCAGCTGATCCGCTATGATACCCAAGCAGTCTCCTGACGTCATGGTCAAAACCCGCACGGGCGCTCCATGCCAGAAGGGTTGCTTTGCAGCTGTGAGTTGCAACCCTGATGTCACCAACAGTCTCGGTATTCTTCAAAAGATTCCGCAACACCAGCAGGTGTCACATTCAGCTGAGCTTGAGACCAACCACCACCAACTGCTGGAGAAGGCATAACAGGGAAGTTTCCACCAGATTTTCCAGAGGCCATCAAACCTTGTTCAGCCCGTAGCTTATCCCACACAGGAAGCCATGCAGGCTCGGTCAAGCACTGGACTGGAATGGCAATTGGAAGGTACCTAACCTTACGCTCCAAGCTGATGCTGGTCTTTGTATGCTCAGCAGCGCATTCCAAAAACCCCACAGGCTTTGAATCAACGTGCACCAATTCCAAGCGCATCCCAGTGATACGTTGGCCATCAGAAAATCTCAGTCTTCCGTACAACAACATGAGAAAATAACCAGCCATGACCCGGTCGTAAACGCTCTTGTTGGAACTGGTGACAACCCTTTCCAAGGTTCTGACCTGATCAGCAGTCAGAGGAGGCCGTTGTCGCACCTTTGCACGCTTCTCATAGTGTAACTTGACTGCACCATCAATCCTCTTCGAACTGCAAACTTCGAGGCCTCCAAGCAAACCCAAAACATGTGTTGCAAAACTAATGGACAGCATGAAAGACCTCGGATAACTCGGAGCAGTGTCAGCAACCGACTTGACGTAGTCGTAGACCCGGTACTCTTCCAATGGAAAAGCCCTCAAGTCTCTGTCAGCACAAAATTTCAAAAATCTCAGCAACGGACCAGCCCTCGAATGAAGAGTGCTTGATGACTTGTTTCCCAACGAGTCGCCGATCGATTCAGCCAACCCTCCTTTGGCAAACTCCATGGGGCCAGACAATATCTGTTGCCTCGCCACCTCAAATGCCATAGGGTTGGAAGAAACAATACTGATCCACTTTCTGTAGGCGCATTTCCGTTCATAGTTCAGTTGATCTTGCCATGATCGTTTCTGTGCGTTTTGCAAGGCTTTTGTACTGAAGTTAGGATCATCCAGTCCAGGCCTGCTCAACTTGTCCGGCAAACCCTCATTTGACCCTTCTACAGCAGGAAGCGGTGGCATAGCTCCCACAGTTCGAAAAAGGTTCTTTTGAGATCTTTGCACAATGTCCAAGTTGTGCTAGTTACGTCGTGGTTGCCCTCCCTAAACCCTCCCATGGAAAACTTAGTCCTACGCTCGCGTGAACCTTTCTACAAATTTAGTTCGCAAAACGCCACGCCAAGATATTATGCACCTAACGTGAGGCTATCGCCACGGTATACATATAAACATTATCCAGAACAACGCGTTATATATATAAAACCCTGAGCAGTGAAAACAACTGACATGAAATCGGAAACACATCACAGCTGAAACGGACGGCCACCTTTTTTACTTTCTCTTTTAGAAAGTAATGGGTTGGGGCTATCGACAGCCATTTGAGTTCCGATGGCACCGAGTCGTAAAGCCCCCTAAGGTGTGGGAGGGTGGGCTAAAAAAGTTGCACCAACCCTAACCGATTGATCCACTGAGAAATGTGACGGATGTCAAATAAACATCATTGAAAGAACTGTACAATTTAAAGGAATCCAGATTTTGTTTGTACAATAAAAACTCGATAAGTTCCAAGACAAGTGAAGAAAGATTCAAGTAGAAAACCAGGTAGTTGTGGTTTCACCGGATGGGATTTACACCATCCAACCTCAATTACCTGTTTACCTTCCAGTAACCCAAAGTCCTTTCCCGGTAGAACAAGGATGTCCTACAAAGTTGTTTCGGTTTAAGATCTGGAAGTAGATTCAACACTTCCGAGTGTCCAACATATGAACAAACACCGGGGACACCGCGTAACGCAGGACCGCGTGGGAGAGTGGAGGTAACCAGAGTAAGAAACCGGAACACGCTACAAGGTCAATACCGGACCCAGGAAGCGTATTACTTACTCACAAACACACAGTCGCAACACGTCGCGAATGCGTGCTAGTTACGTCGTGGTTGCCCTCCCTAAACCCTCCCATGGAAAACTTAGTCCTACGCTCGCGTGAACCTTTCTACAAATTTAGTTCGCAAAACGCCACGCCAAGATATTATGCACCTAACGTGAGGCTATCGCCACGGTATACATATAAACATTATCCAGAACAACGCGTTATATATATAGAACCCTGAGCAGTGAAAACAACTGACATGAAATCGGAAACACATCACAGCTGAAACGGACGGCCACCTTTTTTACCTTCTCTTTTAGAAAGTAATGGGTTGGATGCACACCAAGGCTATCGACAGCCATTTGAGTTCCGATGGCACCGAGTCGTAAAGCCCCTGGTCCGCTGGTGTCATCGATTTACCAAGGGCCCAGTCCTTCCTTCTTTCTCCTTTTTGTATTTTGTTCCACAGGTGTGGTTTCTGACTTCCTTTTCTGCATTTCCTCGTGAAACTCCTTCGCATGCAATAAGAAATCCGAAAGAACATGCCATGTCTGCTCAAAGGGTTTCCAACGCACACGCAAACTCAAGTCAAAGCTATCAAATTTCATGTTGGAAAGGTCATCAGCTAATTGGTTCTTGTCTCTCCTCAACCAATCAAGCATCAAACAGCAATTACCGATTCTAAGTGACTCCGAGAGCTCCATCACCAGTACCGTGAGCGGGAACTTGGTGCTCATCCACTTCGCCACCGCATATGAGTTCCCCAAATTGTCTGTTTTGCCCCTGATCCAACACTTTGCTTTCGAGCCCTTTGGAAAGTACGGCATCCAAAGTTTGACAGCTACAAGGGTTGCAAGAAGTTCCAAGGAGGCAATCAGTCGCTTCGGATCCTTTCTAAGTTTCAACCAGCCGGCCCAGTCAGCCGTGATCTCTTCAGAGAACCAAGCCAAAATTTTGCCATGCTTATCTTGTTGGTATCCACCTATCCAGGCTCCATCTTCTGTCGCTTTCGCATCCGTGAAGAAGAGCAACTCCTCTTCCACTTCACCTTCAACTTTCAAGGGTGGAGGTTCCTGCAATTGGCCTCCTTCTTTGAACCTTCGTGCAAGAAAAAGTAATATGGCCCTGAGCATTGCCGGCAACTTCAGTTGTCCCCTCTTGTTCCTTGTAGCCGCAGCCCAACTGTAGAGCGGCCCCAGGAAGGGTTTCTCCCAGTGTAGTGCAAGTGCCGCAAAGCCCAATCGCCCCAAGCCTTGTTCGAAAAATTTTGCTGTGGTGTTGCCTTCTTTTGCAAGCTTTAAAACCCAGTTGCACATCCAGTCAGCTCTCCTTGGGGAGAGCCCAAGCTTGTAAGTGGTGTAGTCTGTATACAGACCTATCCACTCAACGCGCAAACCACCACGTTGCTTTGCCCACTTGAACGGGAAACCCAAACAAGAAAGAAAGAGGAAGGCCAGTGTAATGCCCCTCCGTCCACTAGGGCTAGCAGCTATGGCCTCAACATCATCCGCAAAAATCAAAAGCTCGATCGGCATCTGTGGCCCCAAGAGTTCGTGTACCAGCCTAACGCCAGACCCCGCTATCCTTGACCACCAGTAAGAAGCACATGCCAGTCCAAATGTGCCCACATTGTTTACATATATATAGGGATCCTCATCGCTCACACGACACGCTAAGAGACCACGTTCTTCGGGTGCATGAAGGAAACGTCTATGAGCTTTGCTGATATCGCCTACAAGACTGAAAACCGAGGCCCTGAGCATCTGGAAATAGGCCAACAAGTATTGTTTCTCCCTCGCGCTTGGACTCCTCACCTTATCTCTGCACCTGATACGATTGTTGACCTTTGTACCATGGGTCGCATCATGGATGACCCGCCGCTTCCCTTGGTGGTTTTCTTCCACCAACACTGCCAGCGAGGATATAGCTAAACGGCCACCAAATTTTTGCTTTGCCTCTTCCAGTGTGAGCCTTTCCATCAAGCCCTCGTTGCATTCCTCCTCAAATTGCTGTCTAACAAAGCTCTGGTGGGCCTCTACAGACTGATAGTTGGATCTCCAAACCTCCTCCTGCATGTGCGGGTCATCTTCCAGCTTCCATGTTGTCTGCTCTTCAAAAACGTGTGGAGTTCTTGGGAGCGGTATGTCCACCCCTACCGGAAAGCCTCGCTCTCCCTGCATCAAGAATTCTCTATCCACATCACCAGAGAAAGCAAGTAGCTCCTTAAGAAGCCTTAAGTAAAAAGGTTGCCCCGGCGCTTTGAACTCCAGGTCCTCTTGAGTGCTACCGTGCTGTTGTAGCTTCCTAACCCAGAGTTTTCTGATGCTGTCTTTGAGGACCTCGTCGCAGATTATATCACATCCCTGCTCCCCTTTCACCGCCATCTCAAAACAAGCACGATCCAGCTTCTTGTCATCCCCCAGGTGTTGTAGTATCAAATCTAATGTCTCGCTGCGCAACTCTGTCCAAAAACCATTTTGACTCCAAACTCTTTTGTCGATGTCCCACCTCCCCATTGAGGGGAGTCCTGCCCCGTCATGAAAAAATCTTTCCCTACCAGGTTGCTGACATTGTCTGGGCTGTCCAATTCCTCCAAAAAGTTTGTCCCCATCCGGCTGTGAAATGGGGAAATCTGTCCTGTCTGAGTTTGTCTTGCCCCCATCTTCAGCGATGACAGGACTTGCACTGTTGCGCAATGTAAATTTTTCCAGAATAGTTTTTGCAACCCATTCACAAAACGATGATGGCCATTGTTCTGAACCCGTTGTTGCAAAAACAGAACCTGCTGCTCCCACCAGTTGTCTCTGTGCCGACCGCGCCTGTAGTGGCCCCTTATAAAAACCTTGTTCATCAAAGCATGGTTGTCCTTTGCAGAAGGCTCCATGCACATTGTCAACATTTGCAAGTAGGAGTCTAGTGGGCTTCAAATAATCGGTTCCAAAATCCAGTTGATGAAAAGCCACTGTTGTCACCTGCTCCAACTGTAACAGTGATGTGAACTGCTCCCATTGCCACATGCTTGCAGGCCTAACTCCATAGTTTTCTCCGCTGCGCATGGCTCCCAGGTCCTCCGGGTTTTCAAAAATTGCAATGCCCTGTTGTTTCGCTTGCAGCTCAAAGCCCTTGAAAGTGAAGTCTGCCATAGTGTTCCCCCACAACGCTCTTTTGCGCTCGGCCCATGTGAGTCTACTTAGGCCTCTGGGGAATCTGTATGATCGGACCGGTCGCGGTCCACGTCTGTTCGCCCAAACCACTCTTGAGAAGGTACTGCACGGTGGGCTGAATAAAACTGCATCATAACGTCCTGAAGCTATTTTGTTTAACAAGCGCTGTTGGACTTCTTTTTGTGTGAGGCCCAAGAACGGCCGCACTTGTATGTCGACCATTTCAACCTCGACTGCAACACCATATCTTTTCGAAAGTTTGCGCAGCCATGATGAAACTGAATTCTTCCTGGGTTTTCCAGAAAAAATATAAAGAACCCTGCAAACTTGCTTCGAAGTTGAGTCCTTACTGCATGCAGGTTGGTCCAACTTTGGTCAGTGTGCCCCGGTCGTGTCCGGGGGGCTCTTCTCCTCTTTGCAATTCAGGGCGTTGTGTCCCTTCTTGAAACCTCGATTGCAAACATGTGAGAACTTGCACTTCTGGTAGCTGCACTTTCCCTGATTGAAACGAAAACAGATCTTTGTACCATCCGGTGTAACACCACTTCCTTTGCCCTTCGACTTGCCCTTTGCACTTGAGGATTTTCCGTTCTTCCCCTTACCTTTGGGATTCCACTCTCCCCAGTTCTGCTGCGGATAGGATCTCTTGCTGTAAAGTGCAAGCGGAGTGATGAAGTGACGTTCCTTGGTCGTAGGGCACTTCCAAGCTTGTTCCAAGGCTTTCCCAAATTGTAAATGATCTGTCACCATCAATGCATACGCCCTCTTACGTATGGCTTGCTCGTAAGAAAGCACCAGTGCCCAAGGTGGGGTCTGCACTTGATTCCCATGCAAATCAGTTGATGAAAGTCCCCACACATAGTCACCCAAAACATAGTCCTTGTATCGTTCGAAAAGATCACGTGTGACGTCCTGGATCTCCTCCCTGTTGGGATGCTTGATGGCCAACATGAGGATTGCATTGACCATGACCGACAGCCTACGTCTAAGCTGCTCAGGTCCTGTAGGCAAAGGAATTGTAGAAGCCCCTTTTCTGACTGAAAGGCTCCCCTTCGCATCAAACACTGGTATCATCACGTCAGGATCCACCTCATCCTTCGAAACTACTTCGGCCATTGTCTCGGCCCTGAACTCCCCATTCTCCAACTCCTGCAGCTTCTTCTCTAGATACTCCTTAGAAGGAGTCACCTTGTCTTCCAACCTTCCATGCACCTTCATGTAGGCGTTTCGCATGTTGATATAGTCTCCAGTCGGAATGGGTTTTGTCCATTCACGTGTCTCCATCTCAGCCTCTACCTCCACCTGTCTCTTTTGACGCGTCTGTGTTTCGCGCCAAGCACAAATCACTGCTGCTACCTGTGCTCTAGCTTGTAAACTTGTATCTGCATCCGTGTTGAACTCGGCTCTCAAAACTCTGACCAAATCATCCTCCGATCTGAAGAAGGATGAAAACTTTTGTATCGATGTCACATCATTTCTATAGAAGCCAGCCTGTAACTCGTTCGACACGTCGTTCCTCGTGAGGATAAACTTCAGGTCTGAACTGCCCCTTTTCAACGCTTCCTGCAGAGCAATCTCCTCTGGAGAGGCCATGCTGTCGAGCGCTGGCGCAAAGGTTCAGAAGCCTATTCATGTCATGTATTGTCAAAAAGCCTATTCCTAGATTTTCGCAAAAAAATAAACCTGCAATCCAAAACGACCTCAAAACAGAAACGCTTCAACAAGTGATGGTTCAGGCTCCCCTTTGTTTGGTGCACATGCCGATCCCTTGTGAAGTTTCATCAGCTTTTGAGCTGAGCTTAAACCGGAGAAATCAGCGGATCTCTCAATGTTTTGTCCATGCAATTCTTTCCGGCATGGAATTCACAACTGCTTTAAAATCATGATCAGCTTCCTCCCTTTTCATTGACTTCCAAATTGAACCATTCCGGTCAAATGAAATCCACCGACTGATCAACACTTGCAGCTTTAACCAAATGTTTTTCCTCCGGGTGAAATGCTACCTTTCCACCTGTCCCGTTTGGGATGATGCACTCAAACAAAACTAAACTAATCACTGGACTGTCCTGATGAGCTGCTGGCACTTCGTGAGCTCGAAGTGGAGGAAGACGAGGAAGAATCAGAAGTGGCTTTGCTTGGCCCCGATTTAGGCCAACAGACCTTGCAGTAGTGTGTATAGTCTCCTGCCTCAGGCATGGTGAAATACTCCGTAGCTGATTTAAAATTGATCTCTCTTCCCATCCAGCAACCACTACGACTTTTATGCAAACGTTTGCACTTCTTTCCATTGTTGACAACAACAAACATCGGTTCACGTTTCTCCTTTGTAACATTGCTCGAATCTGCTGCCTTACACTCCGTGTCTGCAAACCCAGTCAATGTCTCTTCATGCACTGTCTCCACATGTTCTGTGTCACCTATTTCAGTCCAGTCCGCCAGTATGGGCGAGGCCAACGATTCCTCGAAGTGCTGGAGGATCCTGTCAATCCCTTCCTCCGGCAAATTCTCACACCTTTCTGAAATCCATGACATCGCACTCTCAACAATGTCTCTCTCATCCAAAACCTTGTGACGTTCTTGAGCCCTCGCCGTCTTTGCAAACTGAAGTTGTAATCTTGCAATGACTCCATTGTACATCCTGACATAAGTGTCAGACCCATCAGGCTTCCAGCGTCCTAGCATGTCACGCTCTTCACGTTGTGCACGTAGAAGAGCAAGGCCAGTTGGTAACGTAGCACGTTCTGAATGCTCTGTCCAAAATGGAGCAAGCAAAGGATGTATGATAAATTCATCTTTGCCTGGCCTCTTCAGTCTGCGTCTCACTCTTGCTCAATACGCACTGATATCGTTGTATGAAGCCATAGTTTTTCTAAATGCAGACCACTCATCATTCAGTTTCGGCAGCAAATAATCTCTCTCAAACGGTGCATGCTTTCTGATCAAATCAAAACCAGTCTTCAGCCACAAAGGATTCGAAATAAAAGCATGTTCTGAGACACAGACAGGAAGCTCCTGAACCCGTTTCGATGGTCCCGTCGTCTTGGTTGTTCTCAAAATGGTCGTCATGCGCCCTCCATAAAACTTGAGTTCCTTCGGGATGATTTTCTGCACATCGTCCCAACGTAATGTTGCCCAAAGTTTGACCAACTTTACCCATGCAACCAAACGGAAACCAATGCGTTGACTATCATCTTCAACAACATGTTCAAATGCTTCCATCATCACCAGTGGATAACGCGGTGCACGCTGAGTCGGAGGCTTGTCCTTGGAGAGCATTTCCACCAAATAATCCCTGACTGAACAAACAACCTGTGAGTCACCAATCCTTTCACGTGGATCAATGTCTGCAATCCGTTCCAACCAAACCACAGCTTTGACAATGAGTGGAGGCACTGTAGCTCCACACGGCTCCTCATATCTCGTGAAAAGATACTCCACCAAATCACCTATTTCAGGACTGGCAACTGAACCACGCACAGCTGTAAGCCACTGCAAAAACGATCTCCAAGTCTTGATGTAACGTTTCAAGGTGTTGTGCCTAGTCTTGCCTGCAAGTGCAAGGTGCAAATGTTTCTGATCAACGCAGTGCTCCAAATGCATTAAGGCTGGTGCATCTATACGCTTGAGCTCCTTGAACAATTCCCTTGACCAAGTCTCCTTCTGTTCCAATTCTTTCTTCTGTCTCTCTTCTGCATTCTCAATTGGAATATATCTCCTGCGACTAGGTCTGGTACTGCAGTCATCCAGCATTGGTTCAAGTGATACAAAACCAACTGTTTTGGGGTACAAAGTTGAACAACGCTCATGAAGCAAACTGGCATGCATAGGGTCCATGCTGTCGTCTCCCCGCAACCGTTTCTGCACGGGTTCCAAACCTCTGGCATCCTTGATTAATTCTGCCACCAGGTCCACATGTTTCTGTTCACAAACAAGACCCAAATCACGACATGCCTGAAAAGCAATACTGTCAGCATCATTCGACAAAAATACTGCAAGCTTCTTTGAAGACAAACCGCAAGATTGCAAATGAGACTGTATCTGCTGTTTCAGAGGTTCCAGCTCCATGAGGCTTCGAGAAGGCTGGGCGCAGCCGTACCCCCCATCTCAAAAAGTTGCACCAACCCTAACCGATTGATCCACTGAGAAATGTGACGGATGTCAAATAAACATCATTGAAAGAACTGTACAATTTAAAGGAATCCAGATTTTGTTTGTACAATAAAAACTCGATAAGTTCCAAGACAAGTGAAGAAAGATTCAAGTAGAAAACCAGGTAGTTGTGGTTTCACCGGATGGGATTTACACCATCAAACCTCAATTACCTGTTTACCTTCCAGTAACCCAAAGTCCTTTCCCGGTAGAACAAGGATGTCCTACAAAGTTGTTTTGGTTTAAGATCTGGAAGTAGATTCAACACTTCCGAGTGTCCAACATATGAACAAACACCGGGGACACCGCGTAACGCAGGACCGTGTGGGAGAGTGGAGGTAACCAGAGTAAGAAACCGGAACACGCTACAAGGTCAATACCGGACCCAGGAAGCGTATTACTTACTCACAAACACACAGTCGCAACACGTCGCGAATGCGTCCATTAAACGGAAATCCGAAGGCATTTTGGCAGTGCTGACATTGTTTGAAATCCAACAGTGACGTGCATGCATGCAAAACTGAGTGGTATCTGCAAAATCATCAGTGAACCCATCCCTCTTACGCTTCAGGTCCATCGAAAAAACCAAAATCAGGAGGCACAGAATCTGATGAAGAGGATGTCAATGAAAATGACTACAATGGCGGTGTAGGAACAGTCCAAGGCTGAGAATGGCACTGCAACCTAATGGACGTCGCTCCCAAGGCCACGTCAGTGCGATCAACCTGAATCACCAGGCACGAAATGAACAGCCGTGTCTGCGAAAAACTGTCAAGATATGCAGCAATCAAAATAGACACCTCGAAGTTGATCCAAATGTCACGCACAAAAATACCACTTAGTTGAAGTCGCTGTGTGAATCGTTCCAAATCCACTGGCAACTGTAGCATGCAACGCACTGTAAATGCAAATCACTGTGAAAGGATCCAAGCCAAAAATAAGATGGCAGCCGCACCAAGGCCACCAATGAAGCCACACAGGCTCCGGCAAAAATTGTCAAGAGATGACGGCGATGAAAAACCCAGGCAAATAGGATTGGTGAATGCCACCCTCCCTTTTGTAATGGCAGATCCTCTCATGAAATTTTCACCTATGCATAAGGTGACCCTCCCTACCCAACCCTGCATCTTGAGTTGTAAAATGCCACACGAATTAAATTCATAACCCATTCTGAGAGTGAGAGTTCCGGTGATCATGATTCATGGAGTATACACAATACATATGTGTGCATGGCATGTAGTGTGAGTATACATATATATATATATACTCAACATGTCAAATGTTTAAAACGAACAAGCATTTGGTTTCGAGCAACAACATTGTCACTGGGGTTGACAACTGAAAATGCTCAAGGCATTTTTTTTCGGGACGCCTTCTAAAGAAGGCTGCAAGGTCAAGTTTATAAACAGCTATTAGACAAGTCTAACTGCTACCATGTACTAATTAATAGAATTATTCAATACTTGATTTCTGTCACTTTGGGCGTCTTATGACTGATTGAAATGTTATTAGCATCATTCTCATCGCACCGCTGCCGCCATGATGGCGCCCAGAGTCTTCAAACTTCAGAGTGTGTCACGACCCAGAGTCTGTGTGGTAACACTTGATATTGAACACTGTCCAATACCAAGTGTTACCACACAGACTCTGGGTCGTGACGATTTTGTTGGCGGTGCTGCGTCCGCGGTAGTCACTGGCTTCCTTTGAAGAACTTGGTCGCCTTCTGGCAGCCACACGGCCGGGCAAAACGATGACGCTGCTGCAGCAGTTTGACAAAATATGAATAATAGCGCCAGCATGCCAGGCTACATTCACAAAAGCGCTAAAATCACTGAACAGTCAGTACCGTTACCACTGAGTCTGAAGCTGGCTTGCCGGCTTTTTTTTAATGAGGGCTGGCTTGCTGGCCTTTTTCTTTCTGGACCGATTTTTAAACCGACCCGTTGGCTCTAACCATCATCATTGTTAGGAACTGTCCAACGCGGCAAGGAGATGGCTACTTTTCGGCTGCCGACAAAGACTTTACTTGCGGGCTGCCAAACCCTTGGGCGGTTTGTTCGTGGTGGACATTGAATGTGCTGCAGGACACCGCGCTTCGCTTCAAAGACCGAAAGCGGATGCTTCTTTCATTTTTTGATTGGATGGGTACGGCTGACACCTGGACTTTCGTCGCCTGACGATACGTGGGACTTTTTTCAGTGATGATTGTCATGGACCATGTCATCACAGTCATCACTGAAAAAAGTAAAGGCTGCTTCCGAAGGCACCACCTGTGGCATTTGTCCCGCGTCACACGTCTTGCTGCATAGATGGCTGCTTGAAGACCATGTGTGTCAACACTATGAGATGCAGACTGATGATGGCAGTGTTTTTTTGATGCCTGCTTTTTTTAAGGTTGTGCAATGATATGGTGGCAGCGGTAACGCTTTGACTATGATGTGTTTCACAGCCATGATAACGGCATGGGTGCCAGTGCCTTTTGTCAGGATGTCAGAATGGTCCAGAATGGTCCTGAAAGATGGCATTGTGCTCTTGGATGGCGTCTACAACTTCAAATGGCTCTATGATGTCCACATGACATGCAGCCAGCTGCTAACGTCAAGCTCCAGGATCACGCTCATGACAGACAAGTGCGATCTGTGACAAACAAGTCAAATCCACCAGAAATATGCTCAAAACAAAAAACGAAACAGTAAGAAAATAAATATACAAGGCGTCAAAATGACAGTCAGTGGCTTGCTGGCTGTCATGTTCTCGGGGGCAGTGGCTGGCTTATGCTAGCTTTTTTTCGGATGAGGCCGGCTTGCCGGCCATAGGCCTTTTGTTGAGGGTTGAGGTTGGCTTGCTGACCTTTGTTCCACGACATTAGTAAACTTAAACACTGGCACAGAATAAGATCTCAGATGCAGTTAATTGCTCTTAGTCATTATACACGGGTTTATGTAAGTTTAATCATTTCCTGCTACTGCTGGGTTGTAAATGTTTTTGACACTATAGCAAAAGGCAGAACGCTTTGGGGATATGTGGCAGGCAAATTGGTGTGTCCATTCAGCAAATGAGCCAGGCTCACAATGAATCAGGTTCGCTGCCAGCCAATGCCAGACTGGAGTCAATGGTCAATCAGAAATCAGCAGATTTCTCACAGAGAATGAACACCTACTTTAAAAAAAACAACACCTACTTTATAAGATTTTTCCTTGACTGATGCACCCAAAACATAATCGGACAATTTGCGACCGATGATGTAGGCAACGAAGCGCGTGTGGTGTGACGCGCTTTTCACAAAATCCCAGGCTAGCCCAATGCGCCTGTGGCGGAGCCGCAATTCTTCCGGTGTGCTTGGCGGCGTCGTGGTCGTCTTGCCTGGACGAATCCGCAAGAACCCCATCGACGGATCGATGATCCCGTTGTAGGCCTCGACTTCTGAATCTGCAAAAGACGTCACTTCGCGGAGATCCTCGGCAATGGGCGCCCCATCTTCCACTTGCTCAAGTTTGGAGGCTATCATGCCTTTGCTTGGGGCCTCACGATCCTTCAGTCTACCATGCTTGGCTTCCACAGCGCTGCGCATGGTTGCATAATCCGACGGCTGCACAATGCGCTGTTGCATGCCCAGCTTGGACTCTTGGCGATTCTTCTCTTGCACAGACAACTGGGTACGTGCGCTTTCCCATACGCGCAGCAACAATGCAATGTCTGAGCGAGGAGCCAGATTTCCCGCTGGATCCAAACCTCTACAAACTTCACTAGCATGCATCACAAACCAGGAACATACTAATAGGTGAATAAACCTGACTCCTGCCCAACCACCAGAGCACTAATCCTTTTTCATGGATTGGCTTGATCACACACAGGTGGAGCAGCTGCTGGGCAGCAGCAGCTCCACCACACCAGCCCCGCAGGGCCATGAGCACTTGGGCTCAATCCCAAACATAGGCAAAAAATCTTTCAGTGCCCATGTTACAGCTTGCACCATCAGCAAGCAACTTCATAAACACCCGACAAAAAATTGCCTGTCACAAAATCAAGGCCAGGGGGCCTAATCCAAACTTGCCCCAAACAGGTGGCAATGTGGAGGGTAACAACCCGTGAACCAATGCAGGGAGGGGTGGGGTGGAAAAGAGAAAACAACAAACAGGCAAGCGGGTTGGAAAGCACTACCTCTCAGGGAAAGGAGAGATGAACAACTACTAGCCCAACCAGGCTTGCCACTAGCTGCAAAGCATGTTCAGCCAACTCATGAAGCAACAACAGGGTAAATCCCGACAAACCAACAAGGTATGCAAGGTGAAGTTAGAGAGAGTGGTGTTCATGTGTGCAAGCCCACATGAAAACAGCACCAAAGTCTGACTGCAACACTGTGCGGACAGCCTTGCGATCTTCTTCCAAGCCTGCAAACGTCCTCAGGAGACAATTCCTTGTTCATACACTTTCTTCTGCGTTTCCGCAGAGACACCTGCTTCATCCATATGATACCTCAAAGCAAGCTCCACCTTCTTCAGGATGATCTCCAAACAAGCAGCTGCCATTTGCAACAAGGAATACAAAAGAATCTCACTCAATGGCACATCACCAAAGCTTCAAGATGCGGCGGCAACGATGACACAAGCAAGGACACCCTGGTACCTAAGCACATGACAGCATAGAAAACTTCACCCCTTGCCAAGCCATCTCTAAACACCGTTACAAAAGTCTAACCGAAAGGTTAGCCAACCGCAATCTACCCAAAGGCCCTGCACCTTCCAATGCACAGCACTAGGTAACTCCCTATAGCAATCGTGTGATAATCTTCACACCAAATGGCCATAGCATGCGACAAACTCGCACAAACGTATCGCATGCCAGACTCTCAGCGCTGACACAAACAGCGACCCAACATCGCCAAACGGTTTCATGCGACTGACTCGCACAAAAGACCCAAGCTTGCAGGGGATTCTCCCCTTGAGCTTGGCAACTTCACAACTGCGCACTCGGAAGGTCTAGTCACGTCGATTTTGCAACGTGCGTTTCCAGGATCACATCGCCCCTCTGCTTAGCCTAGCCTATGTTCGATGATATGCCTGAAAAATAGAATCACCATGGAAGGAATCTGTGATGAACCACTTCACAAAAATTTGCGTGATTGCAGGAACGACAGGGTTGATTTTACATATCCGGTTTCTTCTGCCAAGGTGCCAAATACATGCATCCAGTGGTGTGTGAGCCGCGACCATGCTGCATGCACACTCCCATCACTTTAGGCCTGCAGGTTTCAAAAGTCTTAAGTGAAAAATGCACAGAGGCAACAACAGTAACAAAATCACGCAACCACGAAGGAAAACAGCACAAGTATCACAACTTAGAAATCGCGATCGCCTTGAAAAGCTCAACAATGCGGCAATGCCATGGGACACTGCATTTAGATTCGTAACTGAGCGATGCCCTGTTTGAAAATAAAGCAGCAGACTAACATGTTCAAAGCCGAAAGAGCGGATCCAGAATCGCAGTAGCTCAGGTGAACGTCGCATCCTTGGGCGACAGTAGCTAAAGTTGGCGAAAGCATGTCTTGTCTTCGTCAGGGCAAGTAACCAGCTATTTCTGCAATACGTAGTTTTGCTTCTGCTGTGAAGCTTTCAGTCTGTGCCTGCAGCAACAGCATTGCATTAAATTGCATGAAGCAATCCTTCTCGGAACGCAAAGGAACGCTTGCCGGGACCACTCTTGACTTGCGCAAATTCATCCACACCAAAGGCGACTGCAAAACACGCTCCAATACTCCTGCCACCTACCATCCAGCCCCGCTCCAGGAAGCCTGCGTTTTTCTTTGGTAATCTGGGGCGCACAGCGGCACTCCGCAACACCCCCGCCAGGCACACTGCTGTCAAGGGACCTCCAACTGGATATGCCCCCACTGCACCTACAAACTCAACTTACAAACTCAACTTGTAAATCATCCGCCGGCCCTGCAGCCGCAAGCTCACTGTACCAAAGTCAGGTTTGTTCGGCCGCAAGAGTTCTGGCAAGCAACAGATATTTGATACACGCCTGCAATCAAGTGGAGCCGGGTCCTTTCAGATTTGCGCGGAGGTGCTCCAGCGGTGCTTTGTGAGCATCACCGGTAGAAATCCCAAGCAGGAGCACCAAGAAAAACGTCCACCGCGACATGGGCAACTTCACAACAAGCTGTACCACTGCGCACTCGGAAGGTCTAGTCACATCGATTTTTGCAACGTGCGTTTCAACAATACAACTTAGGTACCTCAGGATCACATTGCCCCTCTGCTTAGCCAAGCCTATGTTCGATGATATGCCCGAAAAATAGAATCACCATGGAAGGAATCTGTGATGAACCACTTCACAAAAATTTGCGTGATTGCAGGAACGACAGGGTTGATTTTACATATCCGGCTCCTTCGGCCAAGGTGCCAAACACATGCATCCAGTGGTGTGTGAGCCGCGACCATGCTGCATGCACACTCCCATCACTTTAGGCCTGCAGGTTTCAAAAGTCTTAAGTGAAAAATGCACAGAGGCAACAACAGTAACAAAAATCACGCAACCACGAAGGAAAACAGCACAAGTATCACAACTTAGAAATCGCGATCGCCTTGAAAAGCTCAACAATGCGGCAATGCCATGGGACACTGCATTTAGATTCGTGACTGAGCGATGCCCTGTTTGAAAATAAAGCAGCAGACTAACATGTTCAAAGCCGAAAGAGCGGATCCAGAATCGCAGTAGCTCAGGTGAACGTCGCATCCTTGGGCGACAGTAGCTAAAGTTGGCGAAAGCATGTCTTGTCTTCGTCAGGGCAAGTAACCAGCTATTTCTGCAATACGTAGTTTTGCTTCTGCTGTGAAGCTTTCAGTCTGTGCCTGCAGCAACAGCATTGCATTAAATTGCATGAAGCAATCCTTCTCGGAACGCAAAGGAACGCTTGCCGGGACCACTCTTGACTTGCGCAAATTCATCCACACCAAAGGCGACTGCAAAACACGCTCCAATACTCCTGCCACCTACCATCCAGCCCCGCTCCAGGAAGCCTGCGTTTTTCTTTGGTAATCTGGGGCGCACAGCGGCACACCGCAACACCCCCGCCAGGCACACTGCTGTCAAGGGACCTCCAACTGGATATGCCCCCACTGCACCTACAAACTCAACTTACAAACTCAACTTGTAAATCATCCGCCGGCCCTGCAGCCGCAAGCTCACTGTACCAAAGTCAGGTTTGTTCGGCCGCAAGAGTTCTGGCAAGCAACAGATATTTGGTACACGCCTGGAATCAAATGGAGCCGGGTCCTTTCAGATTTGCGCGGAGGTGCTCCGGCGGTGCTTTGTGAGCATCACCGGTTGAAATCCCAAGCAGGAGCACCAAGAAAAACGTCCACCGCGACATGGGCAACTTCACAACAAGCTGTACCACCGCGCAATCGGAAGGTCTAGTCACGTCGATTTTTGCAACGTGCGTTTCCGCGATGCAGCCTAAGTACCTCAGGATCACATCGCCCCTCTGCTTAGCCTAGCCTATGTTCGATGATATGCCCGAAAAATAGAATCACCATGGAAGGAATCTGTGATGAACCACTTCACAAAAATTTGCGTGATTGCAGGAACGACAGGGTTGATTTTACATATCCGGCTTCTTCTGCCAAGGTGCCAAGCACATGCATCCAGTGGTGTGTGAGCCGCGACCATGCTGCATGTACACTCCCATCACTTTAGGCCTGCAGGCTTCAAAAGTCTTAAGTGAAAAATGCACAGAGGCAACAACAGTAACAAAAATCACGCAACCACGAAGGAAAACAGCACAAGTATCACAACTTAGAAATCGCGATCGCCTTGAAAAGCTCAACAATGCGGCAATGCCATGGAACACTGCATTTAGATTCGTGACTGAGCGATGCCCTGTTTGAAAATAAAGCAGCAGACTAACATGTTCAAAGCCGAAAGAGCGGATCCAGAATCGCAGTAGCTCAGGTGAACGTCGCATCCTTGGGCGACAGTGGCTAAAGTTGGCGAAAGCATGTCTTGTCTTTGTCAGGGCAAGTAGCCAGTTATTTCTGCAATACGCAGTTTTGCTTCTGCTGTGAAGCTTTCAGTCTGTTCCTGCAACAACAGCATTGCATTAAATTGCATGAAGCAATCCTTCTCGGAACGCAAAGGAACGCTTGCCGGGACCACTCTTGACTTGCGCAAATTCATCCACACCAAAGGCGACTGCAAAACACGCTCCAATACTCCTGCCACCTACCATCCAGCCCCACTCCAGGAAGCCTGCGTTTTTCTTTGGTAATCTGGAGCGCACAGCCAGCGACACACCGCAACACCCCCGCCAGGCACACTGCTGTCAAGGGACCTCCAACTGGATACGCCCCCACTGCACCTACAAACTCAACTTACAAACTCAACTTGTAAATCACCCGCCGGCCCTGCAGCCGCAAGCTCACTGTACCAAAGTCAGGTTTGTTCGGCCGCAAGAGTTCTGGCAAGCAACAGATATTTGATACACGCCTGCAATCAAGTGGAGCCGGGTCCTTTCAGATTTGCGCGGAGGTGCTCCAGCGGTGCTTTGTGAGCATCACCGGTAGAAATCCCAAGCAGGAGCACCAAGAAAAACGTCCACCGCGACATGGGCAACTTCACAACAAGCTGTACCACTGCGCACTCGGAAGGTCTAGTCACATCGATTTTTGCAACGTGCGTTTCGACGATACAACTTAGGTACCTCAGGATCACATCGCCCCTCTGCTAAGCCTAGCCTATGTTCGATGATATGCCCGAAAAATAGAATCACCATGGAAGGAATCTGTGATGAACCACTTCACAAAAATTTGCGTGATTGCAGGCACGACAGGGTTGATTTTACATATCCGGTTTCTTCTGCCAAGGTGCCAAACACATGCATCCAGTGGTGTGTGAGCCGCGACCATGCTGCATGCACACTCCCATCACTTTAGGCCTGCAGGTTTCAAAAGTCTTAAGTGAAAAATGCACAGAGGCAACAACAGTAACAAAAATCACGCAACCACGAAGGAAAACAGCACAAGTATCACAACTTAGAAATCGCGATCGCCTTGAAAAGCTCAACAATGCGGCAATGCCATGGGACACTGCATTTGGATTCGTAACTGAGCGATGCCCTGTTTGAAAATAAAGCAGCAGACTAAAATGTTCAAAGCCGAAAGAGCGGATCCAGAATCGCAGTAGCTCAGGTGAACGTCGCATCCTTGGGCGACAGTGGCTAAAGTTGGCGAAAGCATGTCTTGTCTTTGTCAGGGCAAGTAGCCAGTTATTTCTGCAATACGCAGTTTTGCTTCTGCTGTGAAGCTTTCAGTCTGTGCCTGCAACAACAGCATTGCATTAAATTGCATGAAGCAATCCTTCTCGGAACGCAAAGGAACGCTTGCCGGGACCACTCTTGACTTGCGCAAATTCATCCACACCAAAGGCGACTGCAAAACACGCTCCAATACTCCTGCCACCTACCATCCAGCCCCGCTCCAGGAAGCCTGCGTTTTTCTTTGGTAATCTGGGGCGCACAGCGGCACACCGCAACACCCCCGCCAGGCACACTGCTGCCAAGGGACCTCCAACTGGATATGCCCCCACTGCACCTACAAACTCAACTTACAAACTCAACTTGTAAATCATCCGCCGGCCCTGCAGCCGCAAGCTCACTGTACCAAAGTCAGGTTTGTTCGGCCGCAAGAGTTCTGGCAAGCAACAGATATTTGGTACACGCCTGGAATTAAATGGAGCCGGGTCCTTTCAGATTTGCGCGGAGGTGCTCCAGCGGTGCTTTGTGAGCGTCACCGGTTGAAATCCCAAGCAGGAGCACCAAGAAAAACGTCCACCGCGACATGGGCAACTTCACAACAAGCTGTACCACCGCGCAATCGGAAGGTCTAGTCACGTCGATTTTTGCAACGTGCGTTTCCACGATACAACTTAGGTACCTCAGGATCACATCGCCCCTCTGCTTAGCCTAGCCTATGTTCGATGATATGCCCGAAAAATAGAATCACCATGGAAGGAATCTGTGATGAACCACTTCACAAAAATTTGCGTGATTGCAGGCACGACAGGGTTGATTTTACATATCCGGTTTCTTCTGCCAAGGTGCCAAACACATGCATCCAGTGGTGTGTGAGCCGCGACCATGCTGCATGCACACTCCCATCACTTTAGGCCTGCAGGTTTCAAAAGTCTTAAGTGAAAAATGCACAGAGGCAACAACAGTAATAAAATCACGCAACCACGAAGGAAAACAGCACAAGTATCACAACTTAGAAATCGCGATCGCCTTGAAAAGCTCAACAATGCGGCAATGCCATGGGACACTGCATTTAGATTCGTGACTGAGCGATGCCCTGTTTGAAAATAAAGCAGCAGACTAACATGTTCAAAGCCGAAAGAGCGGATCCAGAATCGCAGTAGCTCAGGTGAACATCGCATCCTTGGGCGACAGTGGCTAAAGTTGGCTAAAACATGTCTTGTCTTTGTCAGGGCAAGTAGCCAGCTATTTCTGCAATACGCAATTTTGCTTCTGTTGTGAAGCTTTCAGTCTGTGCCTGCAACAACAGCATTGATTGCATTAAATTGCATGAAGCAAACCCTCTTCCCACAGGCTTCTGACCTAAGCAGCAACACCTTTTTTTTCGCATGGTCGCCACACGGGCAAGCAGAGGGCAGGAGATCCAAGCCACTGCCCCCTGCTGCCCCCACACCCAATCAGCACTTGGGCTAGTGGCTAGTATATTCACTAAACCACATTCTCACAGGGCGGGCGGGCGGACGTTTCAAATGCCACAGCCCAGCACACACCCACTACAAGCAGCTGTGGCAAAACACTCACAAGCATACAGTCAGAAGAGTGTGGCAGAGGGTTAGCACTGACCATGCACGCATAGTAGTGGACCAACCCTCTTCCCACAGGCTTCTGACCTAAGCAGCAACACCTTTTTTTTCGCACGGGCAATTAGAGGGCAGGAGATCCAAGCCACTGCCCCCTGCTGCCCCCACACGCAAAGTTCAAGTGCGACCATGCGAGATGCTCCACACGCCCATCAAACCCCACATTCACATGGGAGCATCACGCCAGGACTGCTCTAAGATATCCAGCAAATCAAGGGTGCGCTCCTGTCTGCTGCAAAAACCATCTGGCAAAGTACCTCTGCTGAGCTGCTGCCCACACGTTGCGACCGCCAGCCACATGAGATATATGCAGCGCTGTTCCAAACTTGGAGCGAAAAGAAACCCAATGCCTGGAGAATATAACCTAGCGGCTGCTTCAAAGAGAGCATTTTAGCCGACGCAGCCACAGTGCCTTGATTGTCACACAACTGCGCCATTGCGACAACAAACTGCCCTGGGACCAACTGCTCCTCCTTCGCTCTCAGAACCAACAACACAACCTGCGCCAAAGATGTTGCTTCTCTGAGATCCTCTGGCACAGGCGCCCCATCTTCAAGCTGCTCAAGCTTGGAAGCAACCAGGCTCTTGCTGGGTGCCTCTTTATCACGCAAGCGACCCTGCATCTTTTCAACTGCGGCACGCATTGCGGCATATTCTGTTGCACTGGCATCGAGTTTTTGCTTTACTTGAAATGAGCGCGGTGATTAGAAGAGCCACTTCTTTGCGTATCGGAAGACTTGCCTCAGCATCCAACCCCATCTGCTTCAAGGCTGCGCGTACACCGGCAGTGGTTTCATCAAGCCTCGCAAATAACAACGTGTCAAAGCCCTCCTTGTATTTTTTCCTGGGTGTCAGCACTGACGCCTGCCTCTTCCATGAGAAAGAGCAAGGCCGAATCTGCTTTGGATGCCATGGCGAATCAGAAAGCAAAGAAGGAAAACTCAACAACAATAGATGAGGAGGCGCTATGCCGGGATCCTACCGCACATTGGTCCTATCAACCAGCCAAAGTTTACAACATTCCAGACAGAGGTTCCCGAGATCTTACCTTACTGTGGTCCTATTAACTCTGCTGAAGTTCAAACACAACTGTACAGTAAGAGGTTCACACCCAAAATCCACTCCAGTCCCCACAACAGGCAAAACCAAATTTAATTGCCATGCATCAGCACACTCTTCCATTAAACCAAACCGCAATCGAGTCCGCACTAACTTTTCTTCCTACGGTGTGGTGGAAAAACACACTGCACCCAAAAATTCTCAAAATCCATGCAGCATGAAACAACAACCGCCTACCACGGTCAAACGTCTCTATCAGCCACGCCGCTGACAACTTAAATCCAGGGCGGGCGGGTGGGTGCTCAAGAAACACTAAACACCACCAACGCCGCGGCCCTCCGCGCAACCAATCCGTTACGCTAAGCGCGCAACCAAATCGTTACGCCCAAACCGCTAGTGGCCAGCTAGCAATCTTGTCATGAATCCTCATGACAGGTCCAAACATTCATGTAATCTCACATGACAAGCAAGAGACTCACATCTCTAAATCGAAACTCATGTGTCCACATGACAGGCGATAAACTTCATGCAAACCCCACATGAACAGCCAGAGATCCTATCTCTAATGTAGTCCCGTGTGTCCACACGCGAAGCACATCATGGAAACTCATGACTCACCCAGAGATCAAGTCTCAACCAATCAAGTGGACCAAGTTCACATAAAAGTAAGGCATCCAGAAACATGATGAACATTCGAACCCGGGTCGTCCAGTTATGTTGCCCAAAGTAAAGTTAGCACCAAAACGAAGACAACTACACCTACAGCAATATTCAACGAAAAGGGTGCTATCGAATCCCACTACTCGCCCCTGCGTGTCGACCCGCTGGCCAACCAATGCACGCAACGGTGTTAATATGTACAGTCGACGTGATTCCACACGCGGGGAAACATATAAAACACTTCGCTTGGGCAAACACCTACGCACATGAAATCACAAGTGTTCTTTGAACACAAATAAAAACATGCACCTGCCGTGCACAAACGTGTGAACATGGGCCAAGCACCCACAAACGCTGCATCGCATGTGCTCGTGGCACACACAAGAACATGCACCTGCTGTGCACAAACGTGTGAAGATGGGCCCAGCACCCACAAACGTAGAATCACATGTGCTCGCGGCACACCCATAAACATGCACCTGCTGTGCACAAACGTGTGAACATGGGCCAAGCACCCACAAACGTTGAAACACATGCGCTCGTGACACACACACACACAAAACCATGCACCGGCTGTGCACAAGCGTGTGAACATGGGCCAAGCACCCACAAACGCGAAAACACATGTGCCCGTGGCACACACATGAACATGCACCTGCTGTGCACAAACGTGTGAACATGGGCAAAGCACCATCAAACGTGAAAACACATGTGCTCGTGGCAAACCCATAAACATGCACCTGCTGTGCACAAACGTGTGAACACGGGCCAAGCACCCACAAACGTTGAATCACCTCTGCTCCTGAAAACTATGTAGTTAATCAAACTGTGGCCATGCGTGGATAGCAGGAAAAACGCGATGGCTCTGGGAACGGGCGCCCTTTCAGGCTATGCCCCATATGGACGAGTGTGAACTATGTACATGCGCATTGAATCTTTCGCCGCTCGGGGCATAATTCATATCAACTTACATCAGATGCACTGGACAGCTCGGAATCATCTGCTTCTTCTGCCTCCGAAACTGTAATGTTTTCGCCAGCTCTCCAACAATGCTTGCAAGCTAGGTCTGAGACCCTTCAGCGTCCAAACGTCCTCCGATGCTTGGACGTGAATGGCAGAGACCCCACAGCCCTTTTTGCGGTGCAAGCGACGAAGACACTTGCTGCCGACCACAGTAACAAAGTAAGGGCTGGCAACCTGGTCTGGGTCCAAAGCCTCCTCTGCTGTTGGGGGCAACGTATCCACAGGCTCCGAGAAAACTGGCTGGACTCCAAGACCAGGTGCAAATGCTGGGTCCAATAGCAGTAGGCGTCGCTGCATTTCTGCCATTGCGGTGTTCCCGCCTTTGTTGACAATATGCTGCGCTAAGTCATCAAGCCCCGCCCCACGTAGGCCCCACCGGTCAGGGCCCCGCAGCGCTTCCACTAACTGCTCTTGCAATCCAGTCAAAACTTGTTGAGATGTGCGAAGGTACTCGTCTGCCGAGGACTCGATGCTCCAGGGCCCGACGAAGTTCCTCTCTGGTTGTCGCATACCTAAGACAGCAAGAAGCGAAACCAGTCCTTTTGTACCCACTTTGCATCGTGATGCGCAGGGTGCCGAAGTTTGCGCAAGAGTTGCTTGGAGAGGCCCACAATATCACCATAATCCGCCATGCAACGGGTGACCCCTTCCCAATCAGCGCGTGGGAGTGGAAGAAAGAAATCCCTTTCGAATGACATGGCATCATGTCGCCATATTTTCAAGCCTGCATGTAGCCACTCTTGCGCCATGAAAAAGGCAGACCTGCTCACAAAAATTGGCAAATGACGGACACGCTTGCCTGGACCAGTGGTTTTGGTGCGCTCTAAGGAGCCCACTAAGCCGTGTTGAGTTAAACGCAATGATGTCGGGTTCAAGCCTGATAAATCGTGCGCACGAGCAGCAGTCCACAGTTTCAGGAGCTTGTAGAAAGCAAGTCCACGGACATATAGCGCTGTTGCGAAACGTCAACAACGAGCAATTCCAAGGCACCAATCAACTTGATCGGCAGCAAGGGAGCTTTCTTAGTTGCCGGGGCACCCCCTTCCAAATCCATTTTGCTTTGCTTCACGAATTTGTTCAAAACCTGCTGGCCAGAAAAACGTTCATTCACTGTAACACCACCCGCTTTTTCCATAAAATTTAACGCAGCGAGCACAGACTCAGGCACCGTGCGAGCACCGGGTTCAGCAACTCGTTCTTGCAAGTAGTCCAACACGATGCCCAGGTGGGGCGGCCATGCCAGTTCAACCACGCCAAGACAGAAAGCACGGAGTTTTCGCCACTGATGCGCTGTCTGATGGTTGCAGCGCGCATTCCCCCAAGGGCTGCTGCCACCAGCTTCTGAGGACCTCTGCACTGCTGTGCCTGGATGGCAAGTGGCAAACGCGCTTCCGTGATGAGTTCAGCCAGTTCACCACGCCAGCGCTCAAGATCCGGGGCTTCACGCTGCACGCGAGACTGCTCTGAGCGATTCATTTTGCGGGGGGTGCGCAGATCTGCTTTGCACCTGGCTCCTGAGCATTTTCTCAACCAAGACACCGTATCTTGCAAGCCTGGGTCACAGTCACACGAGGATGGTCCAACTTCTGACGCACTGCTAAATGCTGTAAAGCTGGGTCCACCAGAGCCCGCCGCTTCAGAGAAAATGCTAATCTTCTAGTTGCTCGCTGTACTAGAATGTCAATATGTGTTGCAAGCGAGGGTAAGTTCCTTACCTGTCAATGGCTTGAAAAGCACCTCAAGCTCTTTGCGATCTTCTACCAAGAAATCTAGAATTTCATCTTATTGTTCACGCTCTGTAGAAGAGCACCTGGCGGCAAACAACACTACAAAGAAGAAACAACAAAAAACCCAAGAAAACACTAGACAGAAAACTTCTAAAGAATAAACTAGCACCTCAACTGCAAGACAACCGATCAACAAAATTTCAAGTCGTAGCACCTCCCAAACACGCTCGGAAACTTTGAACCAGGAAAGGCCTTGAACGCCTCTGCAATCATCGAGGTCAGTATGTCGATGGATTGTAACTGGAATTTCTCGTGCAATCCCACTGTCCAATTCAAACCACAGCAAGAACAATCGTCAATGACCCTTATCTTGTTTGACTGTCGTATCCCAAACCTTTTTCCAACAAACTTAAGGCCTTCGCTCACTTCGGTTCCATCGAACCAAACCCAGCCTTTGTTGACCTCTTCTTCCGTCTCGCTCCACGTAGCCGTCTCGATGTCCGGCTCCTGCCTCACCATCATATTCTTGTAGGCAGTGGCATTCAAGGCTTTCGAAAGGTCTTTCAAAGTGTCCATGGACATTGAAGGTCTCTTTGTCCTTGTCTTGAAAACATTGGACCTGGGCATCCATCCACTAAGCTTGAAGCCACTGGCGATGTCGTCGATGAGGGACGTGTCCGGGTAGTTGTAATCCCGGAGGATTTCTTTCCATAAGGCCAGCCGGCGGCCAGCCGTTTGTTTCCAACAAGCTTCAACACATGGGGGGGCATCTTTGCCCTAATGGCTTCTTCTTCGTGTCGTAGTTCTGAAGCCCGCTTGAGGTACTTTTTGAAAAAGGCAACCCTCTCTTTGGCAAGTTCGGCCGGTTCTTCAACAAAGTTTGCATGTATCAGAGATCATGCTTTTCACTTGTGGATCGACAAATTGATCCAAATTTCTGGGATGTCCAGCTGCGATGGCACGCTCGATGAACTGTTCAGGATCGCTGGGAATGTCGATGTTAACCTTCTCAACTGCAAAAAGGGCCGTCACATTCAGAACTACATCTTTGCCATCTTTCAGTTGTGTCGACTGGAAATCCCCCCATGTAATCACTTGTCGTGCAACTGCCTTGGCACCTTTTGGAAGGGTGCCAATGAACTTTTCCAAATCTGCAGGGCGCTGCGGGTCTGTAAAAACTGAAACGTAGTCCCCAAATTCAGCAACCAGGGGTTTTACATTTGTGGCCCCTTGGCAATGCTCCCAAAACCAGTCTGGAGAGTGGTGCATTGGTTGTGGCTGATTCAGCTTGATCGGCCATGGTGTCTGGGGCAACAGCTCCCAACTGCAGGGCCTTTTCTCGAAAACAATGCACTATGCGTTCACACAGTAGTATTGGATAGGCAGCCTCTTCCGCTGTCGCAAACTTGATCCCCCCACCAGTGAATTTTGTTGTCCAAGGCTTGTGTGAATGCCTTTTGTCGCATAGTATTGCCAATGAGTCAAGCCAGTCGTCGTTGACCCACAAGGACGTGGATTTGTCGCGGTCTCCACCATGTGCACAGTTGTGGAACGTCACGTAGTGGTGCCCTTGCTCGTCGCACAATTTTCTCATGGGCGTGGTGCTCCAGTAGTGTGAACTTGTGGGGTTCTCTATGCCCACAAAAATGTGCAGGGAGCAGGCTAGCGAGGCCAACACATACACAGCATCGTATAGCATGTTGGCCTTTTCAACCTTGACTTTGTCTAACCCGGTCAGTCCATCCAGTTGATCCGGTTGCAAAAGGGATCTCAAAGGTATTGGTGTGTTGACCCCAGCTCGCTCCAGCGACACCAATCGTTCTTCCCTGGCTCTGCTGCATGTACCACATGAAGGCGCTATCCAGATACCCAGAATGCTGTCCGCTGATTCCTCAATGAATTGCACCATGCGCTCCAGGTCGTCAGGGTCTGTTAAATCAAAACACAAATAGGAAAACCACAGGATCTTGCAGTTGAGTGGTCCACTGCCATTGTTCTGAAGCCACATTGGTGTGCCACTTTCGAAAGTCTTGCGGAGCCAGCGCAAATTGAAATTATAAACGAATCCTCCAAAGACATCCCATGAAAACTCTTTGCAGAAGTAGGCCCTCCCTGAGTGTGATTGTTTTTCATCTCCTCAGGTGGGCCCATATGAGACACTTGAGTTTCGCCGTTTGGCGTCTCCTCTAATTCAGAATCCATCTCGTCTTCGGAGAGCGTTGTCCCATGCAAAGGCTGTGTGCAAAGTGCACTTTGGCAATGTTCGGACGGACGTCCAATGGCCCCACCTGAGCCACCATGATCTTCTTTTCGAATTTTCTCACATGGCTCAGTGGGCTCGAAGCGTCAACCCTTTTTGGCGTCTCTGCAAACAACTGCAGAGTGTCCACCTTTGTGACAACATGCGCACAGGTGCAAGCCACGTGTGCATTTGGGTGGCTTGCCTGTGGGCACTGCTAAATGCTGTAAAGCTGGGTCCACCAGAGCCCGCCGCTTCAGAGAAAATGCTAATCTTCTAGTTGCTCGCTGTACTAGAATGTCAAATGTGTTGCAAGCGAGGGTAAGTTCCTTACCTGTCAATGGCTTGAAAAGCACCTCAAGCTCTTTGCGATCTTCTACCAAGAAACCTAGAATTTCATCTTATTGTTCACGCTCTGTAGAAGAGCACCCGGCGGCAAACAACACTACAAAGAAGAAACAACAAAAAACCCAAGAAAACACTAGACAGAAAACTTCTAAAGAATAAACTAGCACCTCAACGGCAAGAACAAAGAAAAGGCATCAACAGCAAAATACACACTCCACCCCTAGATGCCGATCACAGAATTCAAAGTTCAAAGTCCGACAACCGATCAACAAAAGCAAGCAGAAAAAGTAGGATACTTAAATCAAAGATGCAATCCGGCAGTAAAGCAAAAGAACAACAACGACACAGTTTCACAAACTAGTCCAACTGACCCCCGGGCTCCCTTTCGCGCAATCCTTTCTTTTTGCAGCTCCAAAAGGTAGGGTGTTAAAGCCCAGCAGCTTCAAGGATTGGTCTGTTGAGGAACGTACGAGCATGCGCAAATGATCTCTGTCTGTTGGATGCACAGCAAATTGCTTGTACGCACTTTTCAAGTCGTAGCACCTCCCAAACACGCTCGGAAACTTTGAACCAGGAAAGGCCTTGAACGCCTCTGCAATCATCGAGGCCAGTATGTCGATGGATTGTAACTGGAATTTCTCGTGCAATCCCACTGTCCAATTCAAACCACAGCAAGAACAATCGTCAATGACCCTTATCTTGTTTGACTGTCGTATCCCAAACCTTTTTCCAACAAACTTAAGGCCTTCGCTCACTTCGGTTCCATCGAACCAAACCCAGCCTTTGTTGACCTCTTCTTCCGTCTCGCTCCACGTAGCCGTCTCGATGTCCGGCTCCTGCCTCACCATCATATTCTTGTAGGCAGTGGCATTCAAGGCTTTCGAAAGGCCTTTCAAAGTGTCCATGGACATTGAAGGTCTCTTTGTCCTTGTCTTGAAAACATTGGACCTGGGCATCCATCCACTAAGCTTGAAGCCACTGGCGATGTCGTCGATGAGGGACGTGTCCGGGTAGTTGTAATCCCGGAGGATTTCTTTCCATAAGGCCAGCCGGCGGCCAGCCGTTTGTTTCCAACAAGCTTCAACACATGGGGGGGCATCTTTGCCCTAATGGCTTCTTCTTCGTGTCGTAGTTCTGAAGCCCGCTTGAGGTACTTTTTGAAAAAGGCAACCCTCTCTTTGGCAAGTTCGGCCGGTTCTTCAACAAAGTTTGCATGTATCAGATATCATGCTTTTCACTTGTGGATCGACAAATTGATCCAAATTTCTGGGATGTCCAGCTGCGATGGCACGCTCGATGAACTGTTCAGGATCGCTGGGAATGCCGATGTTAACCTTCTCAACTGCAAAAAGGGCCGTCACATTCAGAACTACATCTTTGCCATCTTTCAGTTGTGTCGACTGGAAATCCCCCCATGTAATCACTTGTCGTGCAACTGCCTTGGCACCTTTTGGAAGGGTGCCAATGAACTTTTCCAAATCTGCAGGGCGCTGCGGGTCTGTAAAAACTGAAACGTAGTCCCCAAATTCAGCAACCAGGGGTTTTACCTTGTGGCCCCTTGGCAATGCTCCCAAAACCAGTCTGGAGAGTGGTGCATTGGTTGTGGCTGATTCAGCTTGATCGGCCATGGTGTCTGGGGCAACAGCTCCCAACTGCAGGGCCTTTTCTCGAAAACAATGCACTATGTCACTATGCGTTCACACAGTAGTATTGGATAGGCAGCCTCTTCCGCTGTCGCAAACTTGATCCCCCCACCAGTGAGTTTTGTTGTCCAAGGCTTGTGTGAATGCCTTTTGTCGCATAGTATTGCCAATGAGTCAAGCCAGTCGTCGTTGACCCACAAGGACGTGGATTTGTCACGGTCTCCACCATGTGCACAGTTGTGGAACGTCACGTAGTGGTGCCCTTGCTCGTCGCACAATTTTCTCATGGGCGTGGTGCTCCAGTAGTGTGAATTTGTGGGGTTCTCTATGCCCACAAAAATGTGCAAGGAGCAGGCTAGCGAGGCCAACACATACACAGCATCGTATAGCATGTTGGCCTTTTCAACCTTGACTTTGTCTAACCCGGTCAGTCCATCCAGTTGATCCGGTTGCAAAAGGGATCTCAAAGGTATTGGTGTGTTGACCCCAGCTCGCTCCAGCGACACCAATCGTTCTTCCCTGGCTCTGCTGCATGTACCACATGAAGGCGCTATCCAGATACCCAGAATGCTGTCCGCTGATTCCTCAATGAACTGCACCATGCGCTCCAGGTCGTCAGGGTCTGTTAAATCAAAACACAAATAGGAAAACCACAGGATCTTGCAGTTGAGTGGTCCACTGCCATTGTTCTGAAGCCACATTGGTGTGCCACTTTCGAAAGTCTTGCGGAGCCAGCGCAAATTGAAATTATAAACGAATCCTCCAAAGACATCCCATGAAAACTCTTTGCAGAAGTAGGCCCTCCCTGAGTGTGATTGTTTTTCATCTCCTCAGGTGGGCCCATATGAGACACTTGAGTTTCGCCGTTTGGCGTCTCCTCTAATTCAGAATCCATCTCGTCTTCGGAGAGCGTTGTCCCATGCAAAGGCTGTGTGCAAAGTGCACTTTGGCAATGTTCGGACGGACGTCCAATGGCCCCACCTGAGCCACCATGATCTTCTTTTCGAATTTTCTCACATGGCTCAGTGGGCTCGAAGCGTCAACCCTTTTTGGCGTCTCTGCAAACAACTGCAGAGTGTCCACCTTTGTGACAACATGCGCACAGGTGCAAGCCACGTGTGCATTTGGGTGGCTTGCCTGTGGGCACTGCTAAATGCTGTAAAGCTGGGTCCACCAGAGCCCGCCGCTTCAGAGAAAATGCTAATCTTCTAGTTGCTCGCTGTACTAGAATGTCAAATGTGTTGCAAGCGAGGGTAAGTTCCTTACCTGTCAATGGCTTGAAAAGCACCTCAAGCTCTTTGCGATCTTCTACCAAGAAACCTAGAATTTCATCTTATTGTTCACGCTCTGTAGAAGAGCACCCGGCGGCAAACAACACTACAAAGAAGAAACAACAAAAAACCCAAGAAAACACTAGACAGAAAACTTCTAAAGAATAAACTAGCACCTCAACGGCAAGAACAAAGAAAAGGCATCAACAGCAAAATACACACTCCACCCCTAGATGCCGATCACAGAATTCAAAGTTCAAAGTCCGACA